GTGGTCTCCCGCCCCCCTGCCTTACGCTGTCCTCCCTCCCTCTCCACACCCCGGCGCCGTGATTCCTTCGCCACTTGGGCGTCGCCTCGTGGGGGGCGAGAAAAGGGGGGAAAAGACGACGCACTTCTCGGGCCCTAGAGGCCTCCTTTTGGACCCTAACGGGTCCCTTTAGGGGCCCTTGTCTGCAACCCTAGCTGCCCCCCCCCTTTCTAGCTGCCCCCCCCCCTTTTCCGCCTCCCCCGTGCGCGACGCCCAAACCACGTGGACCCGCGGAGGTCCCGAGCCCATCACCAGGGCCAGCTTTTCATCGGGGGTGTCCAAGAGGGGGGCGTTCAAGAGGGGGCTTCGCAAATCAGGGGGGGCCCAGGATGGCACGAGGCATGTGCGCGACCCAGTTGGGGCCCAGGGACCGATTGAAATGAAGGGCCATGAAATCTAGGGAAGGGGAGATTTCAGGGCCACGGTCATGATATCCACTCCCCTCTTGGTCGCCTCCGATTGCACTCCGAGCCTTGTTTTGATGGCCGCGGGGCAGGGAAACGGCCTCCATGGAGGCCAGCCAAAAACGTCCACAAACCAGACTTGAGCAGGGACCGACCGTCCCGGCATTCCTATAGGCCTACCACGACGTGTTCTTAGAAACCGAAGCTGTTCCAAACATAGAAACGAGGTTCTTAGAACATAAACGCGATGCGTTAAAACAAACCGTTCCCAGCCAAAAATGTTCTAAGAACAGTCCGTGCAGACCACAACATGTTCTTCGGATATTATTTGGTGGGCCTATAGGCGAGTAAGGACGCTTCGCCATTGCTTGACGGACGGCGCGTCTGTTGTTCGATGCCTCCCTCCCTAGGCCCCCTTCGATCCGCCAGCTGCTCTGCCGAAGGTCTGGGCCACTTCGTGGGGCCCAACTTTTCATCACGAGCCGCTGCTTGACTGACCCAGGGCAAGGGAACGCCTCCCGGAGGTCAAACACGTCCAAACACCGGCCGTCACGATTTAGCTGCGACGCCCTAGCGGACCTCAGGGCCCAGGGTCCCAACTTCCTCTCCCTCCCTCCATCGGTCCTCCTCGATCCTGCTGCTGCCACGGAGGTCTGGACCACTTGTTACGGCCCACCTTTCTCATATCGAGCAATGGTTGAGCAGGGAACGACCATCCAAAAATTCTTATAGGCCAAACGCGGCAATATTCTTGGAACAGAAGAGTCATCGCTGAATCAAAACGATGCCCCTAGATCAGACAGCCGATGTGGTAAGACAAGACCGCTTCAACCAGAAATATTATACGAACATTTCGCGCAAACCACAAAAGGTTCTCATACATTCTTCGGTGGGCTTATGGGCGGGTCAGGACGCTACGCCACTGCTTGCAGCTTCACGATTGCGCAATGGGGGCTGGGCACAAGGTGTCGAAAGCCAGCCCTTGTGCTGGGATGCGTTCAGGCCAGAATCTTCACGGGAATCCAATCGTGGCAACGAGGACCTCGCGGAGGCCAAAAACGAATGAAAGAACTACGAACATCCGTTGTCCTCGAAACATCGATCCTCGAACCCTCAAATCAACTCATCCTCTGTCCTCCGTTCCCAGACAATCGGCGTCTTGATGCTTCAGAGCGGGCCCCCCGAAGTCCTGACCCTTTCATCCTGAGAAGAGTTCTGAGTATTCTGGAGCCCGGAACCATCCCCTGGAGGCCGAGAACGACGAAAAACATTCGTCTTGTCTTGATTGTTTCAGCACGGGGTCCCCAGACCCTGGAGGACACGATCCCGGCTCGTCGTCCTGAGCAGTTTCTGGCCGCCCCAGAAGCCGACACCGTCCTCTGGCGGCTGTCTCAGGCGGCCGCCCGGGACGATTCCGACATCCCCGAGACGCCCTCGACGAGGCGCAGCTGATGGAAGCTCAAAACTTCGCCGAAAGCACCCGAAAACCTCGAACACCCCTTGGAAGGTCCCCGGTCCTCCCCCTGAACTCCACGAACCCCCCCTACAGAAACATCCGATGATGGGCGCGTTTCCTCCAACAGCTTGTAAGGGTCGTATGTAGAGCCTCTACAGCCAGGTGGTACGCTGCGCGATCTGAAATGCGTGGCCCGTTCGTGGTCTGTGGTCGTGGCCCATGGTCTTTGGTCGCATGGTCTCCTGTGAAGTCGCGCTAAAGTAGTTGTGCAAAGCATGGGGACCACTGTGGATACTCGCTGTCGCGCTCTCTTTACACGTGGAAGAAACTGCTTACGTATGGTAATCTCCCGCCGAAGCAATCATTTCCATGCGCCGCCCCCCATTAGGGGGGTAGCTTCCCTTCCCCAAGCTATTTTCGATTGTCACGCACACGGTAACGGGCCCCAGACATCGAAATCAATGCGAAGCCCAGGATTCCCTGAAAACATATCGTCGAACATCTGGACTCAGTCCTCCTACGGCTGTCGGGTCTTGGGCCTCCAGCGGCCGTTCGGGGCGGTCCAGGCACCCCCAGAACACTCTCGGCGAGGCGCAGCTGACGGAACGCATCCCGAGGCAGGAAACGATCGGGGACGAACATATCCGAAAGCGGCTAGCCGAAAGCACGAGGTTCAACGTGTGCGCGTAGCCGAGATCCTCCCGCTCTGGCCACACGCTGTGCAAGAGTGCCCTTTGGTGCGCGGCTCTAGGGGGGCGCGAGGGAGCTGCTACCGCATCGCATGTAGCAACTGGGGGACCCCAGTGGGCCCGCACCTCTCCCTCCTCCTCGTCCTCGTCCTCCTCCTCCTCCTCCTCGTCCTCCTCCTACTCCTCCTCCTCCTCTTCCTCCATCCCTCTCATGCTCCTCTTCCTCTTACACCGCCTCCTCCTCCGCCTCCTCCTCCTCCTCCCTCCCCACTCCCCTCTCCCGCCTCTACAATTGCTCAAAGTGAATACTACTCTCCTCCCTCCCCTGAAACTGTACAGGGTTGGCTCCGCCATCTCCGCGTACTGTTTCTTCACACGCAAACCTTTCATTATTTTCTGGCTTTCGAAGCGGTGCACTCGCTGCAGTGGGCCTTATTCCCAACCATCCTGTGTTGGGCCCTCGTTTTGACGAGACAGCGCCCCGCGTCCCACCTCCTCTCCTCTCCTCCTCACCCTCCTTCCCCATCCATCCCTTGCCTCTCTGCTCTCCGCATGTCCTCCATAGGGTGCTCCACCGAAGGCCCCACTGGCAGGGTCCGCATGCAGTTCCACTTCCATTTCGCCGCACCCCTCACACGCTTCGTGGCCCTATACGGTGCTCCACCGCAGGCCCTCGTGGCAGGGCCCGCATGCAGTTCCACACCCCTCACGCGTCACGTGGCCTCATCGGGTGCTCCACCGAAGGCCCTCGTGGCAGGGTCCGCATGCCATGTCGGCGCACCCCTCACACGCTTCGAGGCCTCACAGGGTGCTCCACCGAAGGCCCCAACGGCAGGGTCCGCATGCAGTTCCACCTCCATGTCGGCGCTTCCCCCACACGTCGCGTGGCCCTGTAGCAGGGAGCTCCACCGCAGGCTCCAGTGGCAGTGCCCGCGTGCCGCCGCCGTCCCACTCTGGCACACCCCTGGCACGCTTGGCGCCCCCACAAGGAGCTCCACCGAGGACGATGCTCACGACTGCGGCGCTCGATACCGCACACGGCTGGTTTCTTCGCCAGGCCAATTTTCGGATCGGTGCTTTGATTCTGTCGTTCAGAATGGCGCTCTCGCCCTGGCGTGTGTCACCTTTCTGAATCCAGGTGTCGCAGGTCTTGCAAGTCTCGCAGGTCCCACAGGTCCGACAAGTCCCGTCAATCCCACAAGTGTCCCAGGTCTCACGGGTCCCATAGATGTCCCCCAAGTCCCACAGGTCCCGGGGGTGCCACGGGTCCCACAGGTCCCACAGGTCTCGGAGGTCTCGCAGGTCCCTCAGTTCCCACAACTTTAGCAGATCCCACAGGTCCCCCAGGTCCCACGGGTCTCGCAGGTCTCACAGACCCCACAAGCCACGTAGGCCCCACAAGTCGCACAAGTCCCACAGGTCCCGCAGGTCCCACAAGTTCCACAGCTCCACGGTTCTCACCGGCCCAACAGGTCCCACAGGTCACAGAAGTTCCACATGGCATGCTCCACAGGTCCCACATATCGCACAAACTCCAAGTTCCAAAGTTCCCACCTGCCCGACAGGCCCCGCAAGTCAGGCTATGACACACGTCCGCGAATAGAAGGAAAAACAGCGCAATTGGAAGGGATGGGAGGAAGGGATAGCATGTCAGATGTGGCGCGATCGCACCCAGCTTGCTCCCCCCCTGCCCCCCCCCCTCTCCTTCACCTCGAGACCCAGGCATGCGATGTCCTATTTGTTGTCGGTACTAGTTCCAAGGAAAACCTGACCCATTCCCCGGGGCCAGTGTTTCCTCCTGGGCCGTTTCTGGACGGTCCCGAGGCACGGTGAGGGGGCCCCCAGAGGCCGAAAACGGCCCAAAACCTCCCGCCTTGTTTTTTGTTGAGACGCGAGCCTGTCGTCTGGGGTCTCTCCTCCCTTTCCCCACCTCTGCTGGCAAGACTTAGATCCATATCCACAGGGTCTTGGACTTTCTGGGAAGTGGCGCCGCAAGGCCGAGGAAACAAAGCCTCTAGAGACTGGCTGCTGATCCGTGCCAATGGAGCCTCGGGTCTGGGGGAGCCCGAAACTTCACGACGCAGTGGATCTGGATGCGACAGTCTTGCCCGCAAGCTCGGCCTCTGCCACTCTGACCCAGGTGAGCATCGTTTAACCGATCCCCATCCCCAGCGGCGTGGCCTGGGCCCCGCTGGCCGATTTACCCCCCTAGATGGGGATATAGGCCTCTCCCTTCGGGTGTCGAGGGGTGTATCCCCAACTGGGGGGGTAATTTGGTGGGGGTCTCGAAGGGGATGGAGATGGGGATGGGGATCGGTTAAACGATAGCGACCAGGAGCCCTCTCACGCGCACCGCGGCCGCTGCCACACACACCCATCCTCCTCGCGGGGGAGCGCCACCAGCCGCTGGCGTCACCCGCCCGAGGCCGCGGCGGCCATCCAGCCGGGGTCGAGCGCGCCGGGGCCGCCGCACGCGCCCAGGAAGGCCGGGCCTCCCATCGAGGACTGACAGAACGGGTCCTTCTGCTGCTTCTGCTTCTCCTCCTCCTCCTCTTCCTCCTCCTCCTCCTCCTCTTCGTCCTCCTCCTTCTCCTCCTCCTCCTGGGTGCTGGGCGCTAGAAGAGGTATGGGATTCAAGGTTGGAATTGCCACGTACCTCCTCCTCCAACTCCTCCTCCTCCTCCTCCTCCTCCTCCTCCTCCTCCTCCTCCTCCTCCGCCTCCTCCTGCTCTTCTCCCTCCTCACTGAGATGCTGGCGCTGCGATTTTTTCACACCGGGCGTTTTCGCCCAGCTTCGGGCCCAAGGATCCTCACACATCGATGTGGCTCGAAAAATGGACAGGAAAGATGGGGTCCTGGGTTCCGGTAAAGATTTGTTTGCAGTGCTGAAATTTTTGGCAACGTCAGAAACTGAGGGGGACGAACATTTGGTGTCCGTTCCATGGGAGCCGGGCGTGGCCCCTGTCGCTGCCCGATTTGGAACACATTTGAAACCGGATGTGGTCCAGAATCACCCCTTTAAAAGGCAGACACGGGAAGAACCAGGAGGTGGGGGAGGAGCAGGAAGGGCGAGGAAGATCAGAAGGAACCGGCCAAAGGCGGTCCTTACGCGGTCCAACTGCAGCAAAAGCTGGATTCAATTCGCTGCCCAAGGCTTGCAGGAACAGGCATTGAAAGAAGACATGGCGAACATGACGTTATGACAGAATTGGGTCAGGATGCGTTCCAGAATTTCTGCAGCCCGCGTTGAGCACTAGAACATTCTGGGACCCTGGAAGCCTAACAAATCCTGGAAAGGGTCGTTATTATGACCTGTTGTTCTTCTGCGAACGCGCGTTAGGGGAACGCCCTTTCGAGAACGCGTCGAGAAGCACCCCACGTGTGCACGCACCGCATTCCCAGTGGACCCGGGCGGGGTAGCTGATCGACGTCCGAAAGCAAGCGAATCAATCCGGCAAAACGCACGTCGATTAGCGAAATCGACGATGTCGATGCCGTATGTCGAGTGAAAACTCGGATGCCGATGTCGAGCGAGCTGCTGCGGATTTTCTCAGTCGACTTGTCTTGTCTAGGAGGGCGTTCTCTCAACGCCAAGTCCCAAGGGGGGCAGGAGCGCAGGGCGGAGTCGGAGGAGGCCGAGAAAATGGAGGGGAATGCACCAGAATTCTGTGGATCCTTGGGGCCATCGAGGGATAAGAAATTCACATGGGGCACCTGATGGCAAGTTCATTTACTTGATGTGCCCTCTGTAGAAAAAAAAAAAGGGGCGGGGGAGGAAAGGAGAAGAAGACGGAGGGTCCTCGAAATTCTAAGCAGAACACATCCCATAGAAGAAGTGCGGATCTCTGACGATCTGATGTTCTAGGTCCTGGCAGTTGTCCTCGATCTCGGCCTATCTGGGGCCTGTTACTGAGCCCTGGGGCGAGCAAACATGGGTCTGGGGCGACACACTACCCCTGGAAAGAGCCACGATCTCTGAGGCCGCGGATGGACAAGCATCGGAGATTGTTTCCAAAATAGTGCTTGCACTTTGGGGTGTTGTACTTCTGTTCAAGAAACTGGGCTTGATTGCCGGTCTGGCGGCTACGTTGTCGCTGTCGCCGTCCCGTCGCCGCCTCGTCGCTTGCCGGTCGGCGGCGAATGTGTCGCCGTCTCCGCCCGTCGCCGCCCGTCGTCTGGGCCTGATCGCCGGTCTTGCGGTTGTTGTGTCGCCGTCGCCGCCCCGTCACCGCTTGAATTGCACCAAGAAGATTGCACCACATAGATTGCACCAACATAGATTGCATAACAGAGACTGCACAACACATGTTGCACAACATGTATTGCACACCGTATCTTGCACCAGCATACTGCACCGTGAAGATTGCACCACAGATATTGCACAAGCTATGTAGCTGCACTAAGTAGATTGCACCTCCTCGCTTGCACCGCGCACCAAAGCTGCACAACGTAGCTTCTCTATATTCACCCTCCCCTCGCATTTATCCACCCCCCATAAACCTATGTAACATGCATATGATTTTGACCCACTGTCCATCCGACCGGTGAGTTCATACTATCCCAGCCAAGCCAGTATCGGTCCCCTTTCGGCTTCCTTGCAAACAATACTATGCGCGCGCATTCGTTTCTCATTTATCAAGTTTTCAACAAATCCCTTTTCCAAAACAATGTCGAAGTGCACATGCGCGCGTCGTCGCGCGCATGCCGAAATCCATCAAAAACTCTCGGTTTCGGAAGGATTTCAAAACCGATTGTCCAAAACAACATATGAAAACACATGGTTTCGCACCACGGGTTTTCAACGACAAACGTGCGCACGCTCTTGCGAACTCTTAACAAAACCATCGTTTTTTTTTCATCAGGTGTTCAACACGATATTACCAAACGGGCTTCGCGCGCGTGCGTGTCGAAATCGTTCGTGCGCCCTTGCGCGCGTGCCGTCGCGAGAATCCATTGCGAAAGAAAGGACGAAGTGCACACGCACGCGTCGTCGCGCGAGCATGCCGAGATCCTCCAAAATCATCGGTTTCGGAAGGGATTTTAAACCGAGTGTCCAAACACATACAAAACACAATGTTTCGCAACACGGCTGTTCAACAAACGCGTGCGCGCGCGCTCTTGCGAATTCTTAAGAGAGAGCCAAAGGAACTTCGCACGCGCGCATGTCGAAATCGTTCGAACGCCCTTGCGCGCGCGCTGGGGGTGGCATGATCCGTGTCACATAACACCATGCGAGCCACTTTCGCGCGTCTGCCGCGCGCGGATTTCGAATTCCTTCCAAAACCTTCATCACCGACGCGCAGACGCCGTCATCGTCGTCGGCGTGATCGGCATCGGCGCCGTCATCGCCACTATCACCATCATCGTGTCTATAGCTGTCGTCACCAACGTCGCCACTATCGTCATCGTGTCTACAATTGTCGACGTTGCCATGCTGCCGTGCCCGCCCAAGCCGCCGACTCGCACTCAAGTGCCCGCTGGGATGTGCCGAGCGGTCACCACCACCGCGGCCTCGTCGGTCGCGCCAAACTACCTGGCCGCTGCGCGCGCGGATGCGCGGGCTGGCGCGGCCGCAGGCATGCACCAGCCAGCGCCAAACACTCATCGCAATCGACGCCGCATGAGGTTTGCAAGCCCGGTTGCTCGTGGGTGGGTGGGATGTTTGCGCGAGCAGTGGAGTGGACAATTCACTGCTAACAACAACTGATTCTCCTTTCTAAGATAAGAATAGACTCTACCCCCCCCGGACTTATCCGTTCCCCTTTCGGGTACGTAAATCAAATATGATTCTGACCACTCGTCCATCCTAAATATGAAACCGTATCATCCCAGCCAGGCCGGGTTCCCCCCCCGAGGTTCCCTTGTTCAAAACACTATGCGGTGATATTTGTTGTTCTGACATAGCACTTTTTCGCGATTCCCTTGCACAAAAATGGAAAGAAGTGCACACGCGCACGTCGTCGCGCGCGCATGCCAAAATCATTCAAAAACCTTCTGTGCCGGAAGGATTTCGCAATCGAGTTTTCAAAAAAAAACATACAAACCCACAAGGTTTCGCAACACTGATTTGCTAAAAAAGCTTCCGCGCGAGCTCTTGCGAAATCTTAAGAAAACCATAGGTTTTTTTTTTCAAGATTTTCACAAAATGCTACCAAACGGGCTTCGCGCGCGCATGTCGAAATCTGTCGAACGCCCTTGCGCGTGTGCCGTCGCGAGAATCCTCTGCAAACCATGGGGACGAAGTGCAGACGCGCGCGTCGTCGCGCGCGTATGCCGAAAACCTTCAAAACCCATCGGTTTCGGAAGGATTTCAAAATCGTGCCCAAAAAACCTACAAAAACCCAAGGTTTCGCAACAAGGATTTTCAACAAAAGCGTGCGCGCGCGCTCTTGCGTCGTCGTCGTCGCGTCGTCGCTGTCCTCCCTCCTCCGCGTCGTCGTCGTCGTCGCCTACGTCGTCCTCTGTCTTTCCTCGTGTTCGTCGTCGTCGTCCTCTTTCGCGTCGTGGTCGTTTCCGTCGTCGCTGTCGCCGTGGTCGTCCTTCCTCCTCCTCCTCCCTCGTCGTCGTCCTCCGTCGTCGGCGTCTCGTCGTCGTCCCTGCTATTTCGTCGCCGTCGTCGTCGTCGTCGTTGTCGTCGTCGACTTCCCTCCTCCCTCATCGTTGTCGTCGTCGGCGTCGCCGTCCTTCCTCCTTCTTCGTCGTTCGCGTCGTCGCCGTCCTCCCTCCTCCCTCGTCGTTGTCGTAGTTGTCGTCGTTGTCGCCGTCGTCGTCCTTCCTCCTCCCTCGTCGTCGCCTTCGTTGGCGTCGTCGTCGTCGTCGTCGTCTTCGTCGTCGTCGGCGTCGGTGCCGTCGTCGAAGTCGTCAGAGACGTCGTCGGTGTCGTCGTAGTCGGCCTCAAGAGGTTTTGCAAACCAAGTTGCGGGTGGGTGGGTGGGATGTTTGCGCGAGCAGTGGAGATGACGACTTCAAGTTCAGCAGAGTGGATTGCACACCATAGGTTGCACCACGTCAGCTGCACAAATAAGTTACCCCACGTATACTGACCACCACATGTTGCTAGTCATGCACTGTTTGGGCTTCGCGCTGGCTAACATCTCTGTCTTGCATCGTGTCTGGTAGATGTCGTTGGCCTAGGGGCACAGGTCGAATTCATACCAAATACATTTGTGCGGCACAGACTCAACTTATAAACATCAGAGATAGATCGGCGTCCGGCACAGCACTTGAAAAATGCTTGCCCGCGCGCTTATGGGAAATCACGTGAACAAACACAAACACCATGCGCGTTGATCTAGCCTGCGCCTCGCGAAAGGAACGTATAGAATACCACCACGCGGACCAAACGCGAACGCCACCACATGCGTGTGCGTCGAATCCCTTCTAGATGTTTCGAAGCGTCGCATGTATATGTATACATATGTAGACATATAAACGTATATAATGTATGCTATACATGGAGAAAAAAAAGAGAGAGAAAGAGAGAGAGAGAGAGAAAGAGAGAACAAGACAGGTACATAATGAAATGCAAGTTGTTGTAAGCGTGGACCACGGGCAACGAATTTCAAGCAATGCGCAGTGTACAAGCTATGTGGAACAATGTATCTGGTGCAACCGACGTTTTGCAACCCAATTTGTCCAATATATGCCGTGCAAGTTGCGTGGTGCAATATATGTTGCGTGATCTATGTAGTGCAATCTCTGCTGTACACAATCTGTTGGGACATCCACGTTGTGCAATCCATGTGGGGCAACCCATGTTGTGCAACGTATGTGGTGCAAAATGTATAATGCAATCCATGTTGTGTAATACTCGCGGCGCACTCTACGCGGTGCAATCCATGCGGTGCAACCTTTGTAGTGCAAAGTATGAGGTGTAGTACATGCTGTGTAAGCTATTTGGTGTACTCAATGTGGTGCGATTGATTTTCGCACACGGGTTGACAAATTCCATGGTGACCCGGGGGTGGGCGTTCTGGCGGCTCTTGCGGCGCTGCCCCGAGGACGGATTGAGACAGCCAGCAACTCAAGATCGGCCCCGAAACTCTTCCTGGGGCCCCAGCGCACTGGCGTTCCGAGCCGCGCTAGGCCGTGGCCGCAAAGGGACCTTCCCGAAGGCCAACCACCGTCGTCTCACCTCGCCCCTCCTGTGGGTTTGGAACTCCAGGCGACCGCCTTGGCGGCCGCTCTTGCGGCGCCGCGCCGAGGGGCTGCTGCTCCCGCTGCCATAGCGCCGCCGTGCGTTCACGCTGCGGCCTCGGGGCGCCCCCGGGCGTCCCTGCGGGGAGGGAGCGGCGGCGATCGCTCGCTTTGCCCCAGGGCGAGCTGTCCTTGCCCTGCTTATCGCCCGCCACCTCCACCTCAACCTGCACCACCTCCTCCGCCGCCTCCTACCTTTTCATCATCGTCTTCCTCATCCTCCTCATGATCGTCACCGCCGTCGTCATCATCATCCTATTCTTTATCGTTGCGACATGGAGCAGCAACATCAACATCAACATCGACATCATCATCATGTCATCATCATCATCATCATCATCATTATCATCATCATCATCATCCTCACCATCACCACCACCACCGTATCCATCGCCGTGAACTCGGTCACCATCTTCATGTCTATCATCCGTGCCATCATCACCATCGCATGCGTCATATCTACAATCATCATGATCATCATCGTCACGACCATCACCATCAACATAATCATTCTCATCACCACCATCATCACCATCCTAATAATCGCCATCATCATGTTCGTCATCGCCGCCGTCGTCATCATCACCAACACCATTAAAACCATCACCATCGTCATCACCGCCGTCATGATCAGAGCGCCCCTCTTCACGACAGAGGCGCGCCAAAACGTCATGTGTGTGTGTGTGTGTGCGTTGACGCCGGGCTCCCTTACCTCACCATGCAGGCAAGCGGGGGTTGTCGATGCTCAAGGGCCCCACGATAACTCCGCAAAAACAATAGCCATATTAACATGCAGCCGAGTCCAAGTACCCGTTAGGGGCTCGAGAGACACACCTGGCCGCAAGGATCTGACGGGTGCCCTTCCCAAAGGCGCCATCGGGGTCCAAGCCTGACCAGCCTGCGGCGGGGGGGGGCTTGGGGCCCACTGATCCCAGGGGCGAACGCGGCCCTCCAAGGAGAGTCTCTGAGACCACCTAACCGCACTGCCCGCGAGAGTGAGGTAAGGAATTTCCTAGCAAGGAAGCGGACACGGTCAAGCCCTCCTTCCACGGCTGAAAACGGCCATGTGCCCATACGCCCATACAGCTTCGAAGTAACCGTCGCGCTCATCGCTGCCCCCCCGTCATACTCCCGTACACTAGTAAGCACATTCATCATGGCGTCCCTCTTCGCGACAGACGCGCGGCATATCGTCGCGCGTTGGCGATGGCCCCCAGTTCCCTTTATCCACCGTGCACGCAAGCAACAGCCACGATGCTCAGGGGCCCCAAGGTAAGTCAGCACGAGCAGTAGCCAGATTCAGATACAGCCAAGTCCACGCGCCCGTCGGGGGCCCGAGAGACACATATCTGGCCCCGAAGCCCCCGCGGGGATGCTGGGGATCCGTGGGGGCCCTTCCCAAGAAGGCCCTCGGGTTCCAACCATGACCAGCCTGTAGCGGGGGTGGTCCACTGATCCCAGGGGTCAACGCAGCCCTCCCGGACCAGTCCCGCAGACCACCTCCCACACCCCAACATCCCCTATTTTTCTTTAGCGAACCGGCCGCATGGTCACCCTTGGTGGCACCCACGCGCGGGCGCCCGCGCCATGCAAAGCGAACGCACCCCTCACGTTGACTGGATATCCTCTCGTAGTAGTGGAGCGAAGAAGGAGAAGACACACTCTACCCGCTCATGGTCTGACTAACCGGCCACTCTGTCTGCTTTAGCTTCGGATGTTTGGATCGATCTCAGCTACGTGGCTCGCAACTCCCAATCTTGCGACTTCAGCAGAGCGTCGGTGTTGTGTACGCGGGTATTCTTTTACTAGCTCAGCGCACTCGCGGGGCAGTTCCGCTGATATCCCCCAGCGCTCGATGGTGGTGGCTGGCCACCCCCTCCTGACACTGCATGGCTGAAAACCGAACGACGAGCCCCAAGACTCGCAGCGTTCCGCAGACTAGGATGCGGAAAACCTCAAGGGGCCTCGGGTCCGGGAGGAGCCACCGCACAGGAAGGGCAAGGCGAACCGCCCCGCCCTGCAGCTCCTCGGCCCGCCGAGGCGCCGGCCCCCGCGCACTGGCTTTGGCATGCCAGCTGCGAGGCCCGGAGGGCAAACGGTGGTGCGCCGTGTGCAGGTGGATGGAGCGCAAGTCGGAGTGCCCTGACTACCTACCAGACCACCCCAACCCAACCCGAAGACCCGAATTTGACCCGAATTTCGGGTTGGGGGGGGTACGGATACCATGTGTTTTTTCAACGTTCCCCGACCCCCCCCCACTGGAAATCGAGGATAAATTTGGGCCTTCGGGTTGGGTTGGGGTGGTTTGGTGGGTGGTGATGCCCTGGCAACATCATGGCGGTGGCGTTTGATCACAGTGGTCGATGGTGACGCCGCAGGCCGAGGGCCGGTTTTTCCGCGAGCTGCCTGTGCTGGCATGCTTGACGTGCGGCGCTACTGGGGCGTGCCGTGCGAGTTCGTTCAGCCGCGAGTGCTCGGCGCCGTCCTCCATGGGGCAAAGCGTGCTGCACAAGCTCGCCGCGGGGATGGCGCCGTTCGGGGAGAACGTCACCGTGTAGGTGCGGATGCTGTGAGTGCATCTTCCGAGGCGCTCGAGTTCGGGAACTCACTGAACGCTTCCGTCAGGCGCCGCTGGGCTGAGGTGCCCGTGGAGCTTCGGCGCGCGGCCGCGGCCGCACGGCTCGGCGGAGCGAACCTTCGCCATCGGCCTCGCGCTTCCGTTCCGGGGAAACCAAACAGCACCGATACCGCTACTCCCCGGGGTATTTCCCGGGCGCGTTCTGACCAGGATGTCGAAGCGAATCCAGCGGTGGCGGCGAGGGCCTCCCACGAGGCCCCGAAAGGCGAAAACGACGCAAAGCCAGCGGTGTGGGTAAACCTTTTGCCCCTCTGATGCTCCTCCTTCCTACCTCACACTTCCTGCTCCGAGTCCTGTCCACTCGTCCTCCCTACCTGACCCTGCTCACGCAACTGCCACTCTGCACAATTCAACTCGCGTCCGAAAGAAAACACACATATATACATATGTATGTATACGGACATACAAATATACACATATGAACAAACGACCACAAACCACGCGGGCCTCCGCCAGCGTCAGGGCGCAGCCCGGGGCAAGCAGGTCCACGCTCCCGCGCTCCCTCCCCCCCATTTCTCCTCCTCCCCTGACAGGACGGCGCAGGAAAGCAGGGGGGAGCAGAAGAGCTCGCAGCTCGAACGCGCAGGAGGACTCGAGGGGGGGGCGCCCAAGATGGGGGGGGGGTCACAAATCGTGACCCGAGACACGTGCGCGGACGAGTGCTGGCTAGGAGAGGTGCTGACAACAAAACGGGGGTCCGTGAAATCTTGGAGATCTCATGGCCCGGTCCACGGTGTCCACCCTCCCCTTGGCCGCCCCCCCAATCCGACCCCCTCCCCGTCGGACGAGCCGCGCGGGAGGCGATCGCACCTCGCCCTGCCACGCGTGAGGCGGCGGCCCCCGATCGCAAACCCGAGGCCGCGGCCAAACGCGTCCTTCTGCGGCGGCGACCGGGGCCCGCTCCCGGAGGAGGACGGCGGGGCCGGCGCGGGGTGGTCGACGGCAGGGTCTGCGCATGGACTCCCGCGATGCGATCCCCAGTCTTTGACGGGGGGATGGCGACACCAATCCGGATGGACAAGAGTTTAGGGCAATCCTTGTGTATATACGACCGGGGACGTCCATCCTCGAGAAAGGTGCCTCCGAACAGCACCATGGGGGTGGTATCCCCGAGTTCTCCCCTTTCCTGAGCGGCATTCATTTTCGGGAGAAGTCGGGGATCGGGGGCGAAAAATCGCGCGCGAAGTCCTGCCTCAAGCCTTCATGGCCTCAGCCGCTTTTCACGAGTCCCCATGAAAGCGGCCAGCGCTCGGACCAGGAAAATCGATCATCTGAATGAGTGTTCTTCGGGGAGACGTAAGACCCGGGTGCGGGGGACTTGGGTTGGCCCTTCGGGGCCAGCATGGTCCCATCACAAATTTGACGCGGCCTTCCGCTGTAGGCATCCCATCGAAACTGGACCGTCAAAGTCCAGGACGCGTTTGTAAAACAAAAATCGACAAATCGTGTTCTGGCGCTCTCGAGTCTTGCGTTCCCTCGTGTTCTGTGATGCTCGGATCAGAGAGATCCATCAGTTGGAAAAGGTGTTTTGTTCGACGGCACGCGCGAGGGGCGGGGGGAGGGGGAACGCATCGTAGAAGGAGGCTGTATCAAAATACTATGCCCGCGCTGTCTGTGAACCAGGGATGTTTCTAAGAAGCAATTCCCCCTCCCCCTGCCCCCCTGTGCTCGTGGCTGTGTTCTGCGACGCTCGCCTCTCGCGTGCTTCGTAGAGCGTGGCTTCGTGCGCCGACGCAAGAGGCCACGTACTATTAGTAGAAGGAGTCGTGGAAATCATGCTAGTAGTAGTAGTAGTAGTAGTAGTAGTAGTAGCAGTAGTAGTAGTAGTAGTAGTAGTAGTAGTAGTAGTAGTAGTAGTAGTAGTAGTAGTAGTAGTAGTAGTAGTAGTAGTAGTAGTAGTAGTAGTAGTAGTAGTAGTAGTAGTAGTAGTAGTAGTAGTAGTAGTAGTAGTAGTAGTAGTAGTAGTAGTAGTAGTAGTAGTAGTAGTAGTAGTAGTAGTAGTAGTAGTAGTAGTAGTAGTAGTAGTAGTAGTAGTAGTAGTAGTAGTAGTAGTAGTAGTAGTAGTAGTACTAGTAGTCGTAGTCGTAGTAGTAGTAGTAGTAGTAGTAGTAGTAGTCGTCGTAGTAGTCGTAGTCGTAGTCGTAGTCGTAGTCGTAGTAGTAGTAGTAGTAGTCGTAGTAGTAGTAGTAGTAGTAGTAGTAGTAGTAGTAGTAGTAGTAGAAGTAGTAGTAAACGTAGTGGTTGTCGTTGTAGTCGTAGTAGTAGTCATAGTAGTAGAAATAGTAGTTGTAACAGTGGTAGCCGCCGTTGTGACAAAAGAAAGATTGGTAGTAGTAGTCCTAGCAGTAGTCGTAGTCGTAGTCGTAGTAGTAGTAGTAATAATAATAGTAGTAGTCGTAGTAATAGTAGTGGCGGTAGTCGTGGTAGTGGTAGTGGTAGTGGTAGTAGTAGTAGTAGTAGTAGTAGTAGTAGTAGTCGTAGTAGTAGTAGTAGTAGTAGTAGTAGTAGTAGTAGTGGTAGTAGTAGTAGTAGTAGTAGTAGTAGTAGTAGTCGTAGTAAGAATCATAACAATAGTCGTAGTCGTACCTGTAGTAGTAGTAGTAGTAGTAGTAGTAGTAGTAGTAGTAGTAGTCGTAGTAGTAGTAGCAGTAGTCGTAGTCGTAGTAGGAGTAGTAGTAGTAGTCGTAGTAGTAGTTGTAGTCGTAGTGACGTCGTAGTGGTAGTATTCGTCGTAGTAGTAGTGGTAGTAGTAGTAGTAGTAGTAGTCGTAGTCGTAGTAGTAGTAGTAGTAGTTGTCGTCGAAGTAGTCGAAGAAGAAGAAGAAGTAGTAGTAGTAGTAGTAGTAGTAAGAGTATTCGTAGTAGTAACAGTTGTAGTAGTAGTAGTAGTAGTAGTAGTGGTAGTAGTAGTAGTAGTAGTAGTAGTAGTAGTAGTAGTAGTAGTAGTAATAGTAGTAGTAGTAGTAGTATAGTAGTAGTAGTAGTAGTAGTCGTAGTCGTCGTCGTAGTAGTCGTAGCCGTATCAGTAGTAGTCGTAGTAGTCGTAGTCGTGATAGTAGTAGTAGTAGAAAGTAGTGGTGGTAGTAGCAGTAGTAGTGATCGTAGTAGGAATAGTTGTAGTAATCCGCCGGCCCCCTTGTGGGGCCACCAGGCTGTAGGCGCGGGTTCGCAGTTTCCAATACCAGTTGTAGCTTGTAGTTTCCAGTGTTACAGTTCTGCTTGTTGCTGGTTACTGTAACTAGTTGATTGACCGCGCGAGGGGGGGGAGGCCCAAACAGGATTTTTTAGCACCCCCTGGGCGCGTTGTCTGAATTGCTGGGGGGGCTCGAAATCTACACCCCTCACGCACATCCGCGGGGTCAGGGTCCAAAAACACAGGGGATGTGCCACATTTCTGAAATTCGGTGCCACCCCTCACGCAGATCCGCGGGGTCAGGGTCCAAAAACACAGGGGATTTGCAACATTTCTGAAATTCGGTGTCACCCCTCACGCAGATCCGCGGGGTCAGGGTCCAAACACACTGGGGGATTTGCCACATTTCTGAAATTCGGTGCCACCCCTCACGCACATCCGCGGGGTCAGGGTCCAAAACACAGGTGATTTGCCACATTTCTGAAATTCGGTACCACCCCTCACGCACATCCGCGGGGTCAGGGTCCAAAAACACTGGGGGATTTGCCACATTTCTGAAATTCGATGCCACCCCTCACGCAGATCCGCGGGGTCAGGGTCCAAAAACACATGGGATTTGCCAAATTTCTGAAATTCGATGCCACCCCTCACGCACATCCGCGGGGTCAGGGTCCAAAAACACATGGGATTTGCCACATTTCTGAAATTCGGTGTCACCCCTCACGCAGATCCGCGGGGTCAGGGTCCAAAAACACAGGGATTTGCCACACTTCTGAAATTCGGTGCCACCCCTCACGCAGATCCGCGGGGTCAGGGTCCAAAAACAAATGGGATTTGCCACATTTCTGAAATTCGGTGCCACCCCTCACGCAGATCCGCGGGGTCAGGGTCCAAAAACATAGGGGATTTGCCACATTTCTGAAATTCGGTGCCACCCCTCACGCACATCCATCGCAAGGCGTGGTAACCCAAACTGCGAGTACTCCCTCGGCCCTTTAATCCCAAGGTGTGGTAACCAAGCTCGTAAACCATACACGTCTTACCAATCGCCCTGTGTGGTAACCCCTCTTGTGATCAGTTGGTTTTGCCGATTGCGAATCGGCCTCGCATGAAGTTCCGATACTGCTGCGCGACAGCGCCAAAACCTCATGACTTAGCTCTTCCATGGCCCATTCTCCGAGAGAGGGGGCCGGCGGCAGGGGGCGAAGCCCTTACGGATAGTAGTCGTAGTAGCATGCAGTAGTCGCAGTAGTACTAATGGTAGTCGCAATGATAACAGAACTGAGTAGTAGTCGTAGTAGTAGTAGTAGTAGTAGTAGTAGTAGTAGTAGTAGTAGTAGTAGTAGTCCAGTAGTAGTAGTCTAGTAGTAGTAGTCTAGTAGTGCTAGTAGTAGTAGTAGTAGTAGTAGTAGTAGTAGTAGTAGTAGTAGTAGTAGTAGTAGTAGTCGTAGTCGTAGTCGTAGTCGTAATAGTAGTAGTAGTAGTAGTAGTAGTAGTAGTAGTAGTAGTAGTAGTAGTAGTAGTAGTAGTAGTAGTAGTGGTAGTTGCAGTAGCAATATTCGAAATAGTACTAATGGTAGTCGCAATGATGATAGAAATTGTAGTCGTAACAATAGTACTAGTAGTCGTCGTAGTAGTAGTAGTAGTAGTAGTAGTAGTAGTAGTAGTAGTAGTAGTAGTAGTAGTAGTAGTAGTAGTAGTAGCAGTAGTAGTAGTAGTAGTAGTAGTAGTAGTAGTAGTAGTAGTAGTAGTAGTAGTAGTAGTAAAAGTAGTAGTAGTAGTCGTGTAGTAGTAATAGTAGTAGTAGTAGTAGTAGTAGTAGTAGTAGTAGTAGTAGTAGCAGTAGTAGTAGTAGTAGTAGTAGTAGTAGTAGTAGTAGTAGTAGTAGTAGTATTATTAGTAGTAGTAGTAGTAGTAGTAGTAGTAGTAGTAGTAGTAGTAGTAGTAAAAGTAGTATAGTAGTACTAGTAGTACTAGTAGTATCCGTAGTTGTAATACCTCGGAGGCTCCCGTGGGCCGACCCAGCCATCGACGCGCCCTCGCGCTGGGCCCGGAGGACGGCCGTCGCCTGCGGGGCATCCCGCGCCCCCCGGGGGGCGCCCATGCCTGCGCCGGCGGGGCGGGCGGGGCGGGCGGCTCGAGCCGCGGGCGCCGACGACGAAGGCCGACGAAGACGACGACGACGACGACGAGGACGACGAGGAAGACGACGGCCGACGGCCGACGACGCCCCAACGACAAGGCCGACGGCCGACGTCCGACCATGCCTGCGCCGGAGGGGCGGCCGCGGCGGACGGCTCGAGCAGCGGGCGCGGGCGGGAGCCCTAAAGTACAAGGTCCAGGGGGACACAAAGAAGTGCACAGAGGATCCAGGATGCCCCGTATTTTTAAAAGGTTGCGTGGATGCTTGTCTTCCAACCCACTTCCCAGATTTACCCAGGCTTTCCACGTAATCGACGTGTATTCAACTTGTGCCTGCGACCACGCTTCCCTCTTGACCAAGTGCGGGCCATGCAGAACACAGACTACCCGAGCGAACCACCCTAATATGGAGGAACAAGAACTGGCGTTCAAATATAAACTGTCGGATCTCCGCGCGGATTTCGCGAGCGGGGCCTAGGTTCCAGCGCCGATGCATAACATCCGCGCGGACCTCAAGGAATTGATGTGCATGCAGTTTTTCTTCTTAGACTCAAGTGCGGGCGACGCAAAACACAGACTAATTACCCCACCAGAGCACCCTTGTAGCAGTGAGGGTGAAGAGGCGGGTCGAGGAGCAGGAGGATCGTTTTTGACTTTCCGGCGATAGCCCGGGTCATCCGCGGGGAGGGGTGGGGGGGGGCGGCCGATATCCAAACCGGCTCGCTCTGGGCAGCCCCGCGCAGCCCCGCGCATGCCCGCGCGCACCAGTGCTGCGCACCCCCTTCGGACCTGCGCAACAGACAAGGTCAGGCTGTCTGGGAGGACAGGGGGGGGGGGCCGACGATAACCCGGCTTATTGCCAAACATTTTAAGAACCAGTCTCAAGCCCTCAAATGCGGGCGACACTGAACACAGACTTGTGGCGTCCAAAACCTGGATAGCGGCGCAGTGCAAAGCGCGCGAAAAGCCTGTGGGAGACGCTGACAGGGACGCTTGACAGGATGTGTGCAAGCTCGAAACAGGAGCTTCGCAGGAGCCCAGGAAGAGCTTCGAGGGAGCTGCAGAAAAGGCTTGCGCCAAACGTACTGGGAACGAGATGGAAAACGCTTCAGGGACACCCTCTTGACTCTCCGAGGGCAATCCGGGAATTACCCCAGCAAAGTACCCTAACGGCAGTGAGGCGGAAGAGGCGGGTCGACGAGCAGGAGGTCGGCTTGTGAAGGCCTGCGCTCCAACACATGTTCACTTGAGGACTCTCAGGAATGATGTAGCCGAGACCGGGGTGAGAGCAGGGCCATGTGCACCTTACCTGTCGGTCGGAAGAAGTGGGGACATGAAGTAGGGAGGCGCTGAAGTAGGTTGGGCGTCCGCCCGCCCCCTGAAGAGGAGGGAAGAGGGAACACCGCTCGACTCTTGAAGTCGAAGTATAGGAAGGCGCCTTGATATGCATTGGCGCTTGAGCATCCAAACGTACCTACGTTCAACGACCGGCGTGTAATGCGATGCTGCACCAGGGATCGGGGCTGTTCAGAACAAAAGTGCACACACTATGAGGAAGCCTCGGGCGAAACCGCTGCCAGGCGGCTGCCAGACCAGGCGGTCTCGGGCTCGCCCCCCCCGCCCGTGGGAGACTCTTCCATGGTCCTTCCTCACTGCTACCGTAGAAGCCTCCAGCGAAACACTGTTCGGGAAAATCGCGGCGGCCAACTCATCGCCGTACAGCAGGATCAAGGACAGAAGAACACTCCAAGAACACGAGACCTTCCGCAGGCCCAAACCGAAGAGCTTTCGAGGGCACCCTCCCCCAAGATGCACCAAGGACCATCCAACAAACACGAGGAACATCAGGGCACCCTCCCCGAACCGACCTCGGTCCGACCGTGCTCTGCCGCCATAGGAGGCCGCTCTCCTCGACCCGGGGGGGCCGTCCGGGAGAGACCGGCTCAGGCTGGGCGTCGGGCCTGCAGGGCAGGGGTCGAAGCCCCGGGGGGCCAGCCTTCACCCCCCAGAGTGCAGCGCCGCATTGACTACCTACCAAACCACCCCAACCCAACCCGAAGACCCGAATTTGACCCGAATTTCGGGTTGGGGGGGGTACGGGTTCCATGTGTTTTTTCGACGTTCCCCGACCCCCCCCCACTGGAAATGGAAGGCAAATTGAGGCCTTCGGGTTGGGTTGGGGTGGTCTGGTAGGTGGTGACGCATGGGGAGGGCAGTACGCTGGAGCCAGAACTGGCCAGGGCAGCTTCTGGGCATCACGAGGTGGAGTGTCCTCGGGCCCCCATCGAGCGCTCGGCATCGAGTACGGTGACCGAGCGGTTCTCAAAGGGGCAGCGGGAACACGGCAACCACAACCCTGGGCGCCCAGAAGATACCGATGCCGCTGCTCCCCGACTTCTCCTTGGGGTGCGTTCTCACCACGATCTCGAAGCGACTTCAGCTCAAACGACGAGGGCCTCCCAGGAGGCCCCAAGACCCAAGAGGCGAAAACAAGGGAGGATGAGCGGCATTCGTACCTACACCCTGCGAAATGCTTAAGAAATCATGGGTTAAGAAATTCATAGTCTCAGAACTTGAATAAAATCCCCCAAAATCTATTCAAATCTTAGGATTTACATTGAAACATTAAGAATAATCGAGACTCTGGCCGAACATTTAAGTTTTCTTAAGCATCGCCTAAGGTGTACTCCTCCTTTGAACAATGGAAACATTCTAATACATTTCGGCCTCTCGGGGCCCTTGCCGGGCCGCGGGGCCGTGAAAACCAGCTCGGTTGCAGAAAAGATGGGCGGGGTCGGGCCGAGCCGGCCAGGCACCGTGCGCAAAGACAGGCCAGGGGCACAGGCGGAGCTCGGCCGTGGAGGACTGGATGCAGGGGAGGCGGGGAGCAGGATTGGCGTGCCCACATAAAGCGTGCGCGCCCAATCAGGCATATGAAAACGCCCCCCCCGCTCCCCCGTGTGAGAGGCCGGCCTCGTAGTACGAGCGTTCGCGCAGTGCGTGCTGTCGAAACCAGCGTGGATTCATGTGCTTGTACGTCCCTCTGTCGCTCCTGAACCCTGTAGCCTTGAGGGGAGGTTCGGGCAGTGCCAAGGAATGGTCCCCACGAGGGGACGTCGCCACCTGCTCCTGGAGATCGAAGATCGAGGGGGAGGGAGGATCGAGGGTCGAGGAGGTTTGAGCGTTCAAAGGGAGACCCTGAGGGGTCCGGGAGCCCATGCCCTGGAGGTGGTGGCCTGGCTGGTCGCGCCCCCCCCCTTTGGCATTAGTTATCTGAAGTATGAAAAGGGATCGGAGGGATAACGGCGCAAGAAGGCAAGGAGCCTCTCGCCGTCCTATGACCTCGGCGCTGGTCTCTTGCACCGCGTGATTTGCTCAATCGCCGTTTTCCGAGTGCGGAGATCGTTCGATATAGGCCGGCTCCGAGCCACTGCTGGCGTTCATTCTCGAACGCCCGCGTTGGGGTCGCCGCCGCGTCAACGCAGTACGGGCCATGTCCTCTCCCGAGACAGCTCCACTTTCCGAAACGAGGCGCCTGGCGCATGATCTGTGCGGCGCGCACCTCGTTCGCGCTGCCGCTGATGGACTCGATCTCCTCAAAGAGCTCATGGCCTGGGGCAACATCAACCAGCAAGGAAAGGCTGCCCACGCACTTCAAGACACGCCAACCATCCGCCACACCGATCCTGGCTGGGCCGATCCTGGGCCCAAGATCCGTGCCTGCGCCTCAATGGCCGGCAAAAGATCCCGGCATCCAGCGGCTTGATCTTTTCAATGTGAAGTCCCCGGAAGTCCAGAAACGTTCCCCAAGACCAGTTTTACAGTAAGAGCCGTTGTTTCATCGACGGTCCTAGCGCACAGCGAGGGCTAAAACGTCCGCATTGAATTTGGAATATTTTGGATTTTGGAGGTCTGGGACAAGCGCTTACACCGATCCTGGGGCCAGGACGGGTGCAACCAGAATCGGTGAGGAGATAGCAAACGCCCCCCGGGCATCGGGGAGGGCTCGTGTAGCCTCGTCTTTATCAGGGGGGTGTAATGACTGAGAAAAGACACTAAAATCTGCCCGACTGTGATCGAAACCGGTGGCCGAATTGCCCCAATGCGTTTCCGGTAACAACTTAAAGGGGCGCGCCACGGGATGCCCAAAGGTGGGGGGGAGACCCGGGACCACCCGCGGTTCTCCTGGCCCGTCGTGCGGATCCCCCTCTCCATCCCTTCTCCCCGTCCGTTGTCCCAGACGCCCCCCTTTTTCCAAACGAAGGGGGTGTTTGCCCCCCCCCCCCCCCCCTTGGATTCGCAAATCAAATCAGACCCCATGTCCCCTCTTTTGCTCACGCCGCTTCCTTGGGCCTGGAACCTTGTCCCTACCACCTGACAGCCGAAACACTTACACACTGACCCGAGCACCCTTCCCTCCAAGTCTCTGGTCTTAAGTGATATAGCCCTTTTCACCGCCCTCCTGCGTGTCACCAACCGACTCATGGCCGCAATTTGTTTGTTGTGATCCCATGCAACATCTTGGACGCGGTGCGTATCGGCTGATGGTAAGTTCGATTCACCGTGAGTTCCATCCTATGTGGGAATATAATAACGTGCGCGCTTCTTGGTCTCCACAACTACCCAACCGCCCACATCCCTGGCAACAGGAATAACATATTGTAGACACCGGTTGGCCTACACATCGGCCGAACACCCACCGCACACTGCCACAACAAAAACCGGGTGCACTTCTACAGATATGTTACAACCGTCTGGCTGTCACGACCTTTGGCGGACAAGCAATGTGGCGGACATCGGATATCCTGCACACCCATCCATCACTCACGATCCTTTAACACATACAATTTGGTGGACACCGGCTGATCTTCACGTCGCCCTCCCAGGTCTTCCAAGTGTCCCCACGCGCTCCCAAACGCTCCAATGTTCGTCGTCACCACAAGCAGCAGCAGCATCCGCCTCCGAATCTTCACCATTTCACCGTCCTCGTCGCCGCAGGAGGCGTCAACTTGCAGATTAATCAGATCACGTTGACACGTTCAAGTGGTTGAGAAGTTTGGCCGTGTGGGAAGGGATTTTAGAAAGACCGAGGCACGCCGGAAGATCGCCCCGCGACGGCATAGGAGTGCTCAGACGGTGAAGCGGGTACAAGGCCGAATTGACGCGATAAGAGAATCGGTCGATCTTACGGGAAACTATTCGTGCGGGGAGAATGATCCGTGCAAACATTAGGCGGCCCTGGCACAGTAACCCTAATACGCCAACACTATACAACAACCCCCACCATAAGCCTAAAACCCAAGCACTAAAGCCATACGGTCCCAATCCTACCACCCAAACATTTCAAACCTAACACCCTACTCCTGACACTCGAACCTTTGCGACCTAATCACCCTAACCCGAACACCCAAGCCCTGACACCTACCGCCCTAACACTAATACCCGAACTGAACCCTAACACCGTGAACCGAACACCGTAACCATAACACCCCCCAACACCCTAACGCCCTAACCCACCCACCCTAAGCCTGACACCCTAACCCTAACACCCGATGCCTGACACCCCAACCCAAACCCCAATACCCTAGCACAACAGCCTTAAGACTCCACCGCTAACATTACCACCCTAACAACGCCCTTACACCCTCACTAAGCCTAGCACCCGATTAACAAGGGGCACGCGTGCCAAGGATCATACAAGGACGATGTGGGTCCATGGGAGATGGAGAAAACCAGGGATCGCGAGGGAGGCAATCCTTGGCAGACGCCGCAATTGCTGCGACACGTTGGCAAGGGACAGATTCGAAGACGGGAAGGGGCGGCTAGAAGCATGTCAGTTTGGGTCGGAATAAGGGGAGGGGGGGGGAGGGGGGCGCAGGGGGGGAGGGGGGGCACGTCGGTCGGAATAAGGGGAGGGGGGCGCAGGGGGGAGCGGGGGGGGGGCCCACGGTCGGTCGGAATAAGGGGAAGGGGGCGCAGGGGGGGAGGGGGGGGGGGGCCCACGGTCGGTCGGAATAAGGGGAGGGGGGCGCAGGGGGGGAAGGGGGGGGGGGGGGGGCGCGGTCGGTCGGAATAAAGAGAAGGGTGCGCAGGGGGAGAGCGGGGGGTGGGCCCATGGTCGGTCGGAATAAAGGGAGGGGGGCGCAGGGGAGGAGCGGGGGGGGAGGGCCCACGGTCGGTCGGAATAAGGGGAGGGGGACGCAAGGGGGGAAAAGGGGGGTGGCCACGGTCGGTCGGAATAAGAGGAGGGGGGCGCAGGGAGGAGCGGGGGGGGGGCCACGGTCGGTCGGAATAAGGAGAGGGGGGGCAGGGGGGGAGCGGGGGGGGGCCCACGGTCGGTCGGAATAAAGGGAGGGGGGCGCAGGGGAGGAGCGGGGGGGGTGGCCCACGGTCGGTCGGAATAAGGGGACGGGGGCGCAGGGGGGGAGCGGTGGGGGGGCCACGGTCGGTCAGAATAAGGGGAGAGGGGCGCAGAAGAGGAGCGGGGGGAGTGGCCCACGGTCGGGCGGAAGAAGGGGACGGGGGCGCAAAGGGGGAGCGGGGGGGGGCCCACGGTCGGTCGGAATAAGCGGAGGGGGGCGCAAGGGGGGAGCGGAGGGGGTGGCCCACGGTCGGTCGGAATAAGGGGAGGGGGGCGCAAGGAGGGAGCGGGGGGGGTGGCCCACGGTCGGTCGGAATAATGGGAAGGGGGCGCAGGGGAGAAGCGGGGGGGGTGGCCCACGGTCGGTCGGAATAAGGGGAGGGGGGCGCAGGGGGGGAGGGGGAGGGGCCAGCACGACCACCAGCACGACCACCAGCACCTCCACCAGAACGGCCAGCAACACGACCGCGAGCACGACCACCAGCACGACCACCAACACGACCACCAGCACCTCCAGCACGGCCAGCCACCAGCACGACCACCAGCAGAACCACCAGCACGACCACCAGCACGACCACCAGCACCTCCACCAGAACGGCCACCAACACGACCGCCAGCACGACCACCAGCACAAGCACCGGCACGCCCAGCCACCAGCACGACCACCAGCACAACCACCAGCACGACCACCAGCACGATCACCAGCACGACCACCAGCACCTCCACCAGAACGGCCACCAACACGACCGCCAGCACGACCACCAGCACAAGCACCAGCACGACCACCAGCACGACCACCAGCACGACCACCAGCACGACCAGCCACCAGCACCTCCAGCACGGCCAGCCACCAGCACGACCAAGCACGACCACCAACACGACCACCAGCACCTCCAGCACGGCCAGCCACCAGCACGACCACCAGCACAACCACCAGCACGACCACCAGCACGACCACCAGCACGATCACCAGCACCTCCACCAGAACGGCCACCAACACGACCGCCAGCACAAGCACCAGCACAACCACCAACGCGACCAGCCACCAGCACGACCACCAGCACAACCGCCAGCACGACCACCAGCACGACCACCAGCCCAGCACGACCACCAGCTCGACCACCAGCACTTCCCAGCACGACCACCAGCACAAGTACCAGCACGACCACCAGCACGACTGCCAGCACCTCCACCAGAACGGCCAGCAGCACGACCACCAGCACGACCACCAGCACGTCCACCAACCACGACCACCAGCACGGCCGCCAGCACAACCACCAGCACGACCGCATTATGGGCACACGGTCGGTCGAAATAAAGCAGTGCGAGATCACACCGGTAGGTATGATGATAAAACAACCTAACAGGACAACTTGACCTTACACCCTAGCCCTCAAACACTCGAGCCTTGACACCCTAATCCCATCACCCTGACGCTAACACAACAACCCTGACCCCGTACCCGCAATGATACCGCTCCAACCCTGATCCTAACACCCTAGCCGTAACACCTCAATCCTAGCACCCTGACCCCATTATCCGAACCTTACACCTGACAGTCTAACCCTAGCACCCTACCCCTAACACCCTGGCCATGACACGAACATCCCCACCCTAATTCCATAACCTTACCCCCGAACCCTAAAACAACTGAGCTCCCCTTAGCCTAACGCCGCAACCCTAAAACAACATACCTAACACCCTACATCTAACCCTACCGCCCGAACACGAGCACCCGAACACTGACACTCTTACCTTAACACCCTTTTCCTACAGTCATTGGCCTGACCTAAGGAACGATACATAAGGAACGAAGCCCCCTTTTTTCCCAAGGAATAACGCATAAGGAACGATACATAATACATAACGCATAAGGAACTGTAACTAACGCATGTAAGCCTAAGGAACGACCGAGCCCCTTTTGAAAAGTAACTGTTCCTTATTCAAGCCGCTCACTGTAACACCCTAACCCTAACCCTAACACCCAAGCCTTCACACACGACCCCCAGCCCTAACACCCTAAGCAAAAAACCCTCACTCTGACACCATAAGCCTACCTAACCCGAATGCCTGAAAATTCTGACCCCCTTACCCGAACACCCTAATTTTTCCACCTCTACCCTAACCCTCACACCTGAACCCTAGCAGCCTCTTGGGCGCGAAGGGGGGAAGGGGGGCGGCGTCCGAAATTCCTTCCCTCTCTCATGCGCAGTGGGGTGAGTGGGGGGGCGAAAACCCCACACCCCCGTTTAGAATGATGGGAGTGAGATGTGGGGGGCTGAGAACAGCCCCCCACTTGAAGGAGGGGAGGGGGGGTGGTGTTGTTCGAGCCCCCCCCGTTTTCAGCTAGAGGGGGGTTGAGCGGCGCGTCTTTCACAATCTAGGTCACGTCTTCGGTCACGCACTTGTTCGGCCACAAACGATCTCAACCGATAGAGGCTGGCCGCCATGAGACACCCTCCTGCCGGCCCATGCCCACCTGGCACATGCCGTTGTGGTTTCGCTTGTTAGCGAGGGCGGCAGCGCCCGGCTTTGGTCTGAGCCGAAGGCATCAAACAGCGAGAGAGGCAAGTAACGGGCGCTGGCCTGCTTCCACGGACGAGGGGGGAGTCTGGCTCGCACCACCCACGGGTCCTCCTGAATCAGCGCGCGCTCGCGCAACCGAAACCCACGCTCGTGGACGCTGCGGTGCAGACGAGGAAGCTGCGTCTTCCAGCGGGGACAGAGTCGGCTGCACGCAAGAGCGACCCTAGGAAAGGGTGACCTCTGGTGAGAGGCCTCGGGGGGGCCGCGGGGAGGCCGAATCCAAGCGCGCTGGCAGTGCAGGGGGGGCATGCTTGCCCGCACCAGAGGTCCCTCTGGCAAGAGCCACCTTTACACGTCGCAAACCTCCAATGATGTGCTGTTTCCGTGCGCGGCCCTAAGAGGTCCCGCGGAACCCTCCTCCATGGGCTCACGGGCCCCCTGAAGGCCGCATTCGAGGACAGACGCTGGGATTTTGAAACAGATGTCGGCGATCTGGGGAAGAAGCCCGCCGCTTACGTTCGGTGGCAACTCATGGGAGCCTCCCGACGCTATATTGCTGGCTCTTGCGAATCGACGCTAACGGACACTCGTCAACGCTAATCGACTCTGAATCGACGCTCATAGACGCTAAATCGGCAATATCCCTTCGATTACCCCGCGCCAATATACGCTAGCGCAGATAAAGAAAGGATAATTACGAGGGTATATAAGTCTCCCATGGTTTGTTACCGACTTACGTAACCTTTTGCACCTGATAACCATCCCCAACAGATGATAAGAATTAGGGGTCACGGGGCGTGGGGGGAGGAGGAGGATCCGGAGGAGGAGGAGGACCAGCAGGAGGAGGACCAGGAGGAGGAGGAGGAGGAGGAGGAGGAGGAGGAGGAGGGGGAGATCTCGGAGCTCGAGTCTGTCTTCCTGGGGCCTCCCTGGGGCTGGAGGTTCCTTTCCTCGGGGCTCTTTTTCTCGGGACTCTCGTTCGCGCAGGTCGACTGACTCGAAGCTACTGCTGCCTCGGCACTGCTGCTACAAAACTCAAGGTCGTTTCTCGTCAGATACTCTATGCCACAGCCCCGTAGTTCTCGATCTCACGCTCTCAGAAGGGAGAGAAAGAGAGAGAGAGAGAAGGAGAGAAAGAGAGAGAGGGAGAGAGAGAGAGAGAGGATAGGGGAACAAGACGAGGAGAAAGGATAGAGGAGAGGTGAGACGAGAGGATGATGGAGAGTAGGGAGAGGGGGGGGAATGGCGAGGAGAGGAGGGAGGAGAAAGGAGAATAGAGAAGAGAGAGAAGAGGAAGACGGCCGGAGGAGACTCCAGGAAAATCCAAAGCTACAATCCTATCCCATTTTCGGTGCAAGCTGTACTTAGGAGTTGAGATTTTCAAGGCCGCGTGTAGGGCCCTCATGGCCTGGGCTTTTCGGGGATATTCTACACCGTGGATAAAACAAGTTCGGAGGGAGGGGGGAGGGGAGGGAAGGCCTGGGCAAGAAAGGAAATAAGAGGAGGGGAAAGACAGAGGAGGAGAAGGAGGAGCAGGAGGAGGAGGTGGAGGAGAGAGAAGAGAGAGAGAGAGAGAGAGGGAGAGACTTCAAAGCCCATGATGGCTTCAAGACGGCCCACGATGGCTTCAAGAGGTGGAGGGATAGAAAAAGCTCACGATGGCTTCAAGCCGGCCCACGAATCCTCCAAGACGGCCCTAGGCGGTCCAAGACGGCCCCTTGTTGATGGTGCAATTTAACATGAAAGTAGCTTCGGTTCGGAACTTTTCGGGGGATACTAAAGTTCGGCTCCGCCGCCCCGCCACCGCCGACCAAACTTTTCTTGCCCAGAGATGGTCAACTCTATGGTGTTCAGGGGGGGGGTACTTTATTATCAGGGGCATGGGGTTATATCTTCAGCCCTGGCAGAGAGGCCACAGCTCCAGCGGGATCGAATCGGGACAGCGGATCGAATCGGAGCTTGCGCCGGATTGGACCGCAGCGGCGCGGCGCCGAAATCGAATCGGGCCAGCAGCGCCAAGATGCGCAACAACGCCGTGCTGGCACCTGGCCGCATCGGGTCGCGAGAACATCGGAATCGGGGACGCACTGACCCTGGTCAATCCAGACCCGGGCCAGTCGGGCCTTGCAGGATCCTGCACCCAAGCCCCGACGGAATCGGAATTGCATCGGGCCGGCCGAGAGCGACGTCGAAGCGGATCAATCGGATCCCTGGGCCCTGCCCTGCACTGCCCTGCCCGGGCCACGCGAGCGTCACTGTGCAAGCGTGGACCACGAGGCCCATTTCTGCATTGTCCCAGTCTTCTGGGAAGAAGAACAACGGCATTTCGAAGCTCCGCACGGATTTCTTGGATCTGCGCTGGACCCTCCTCCCTGGCGCGGCTCCAGCGCAAATCCAAGGCATCCGCTCTGCCATTTCCCTGTCTTTTCCCCATCTCTCCATCCGACGAAGACTGGGAGGAGTGCCATCGAAGGATCCGTGACAAAACAGTCCGCAGCCTCCGCCGAACGTTTATGTGCATACCGTTTCTCCTTCTTCTCCTTCTTCTCCTCCTCCTTCTTCTTCTTCTTCTAAGATTTCTCAGCACGGAGCCTCCGAAGTCCCGACCTCTTCCCCGGGGCTGGCCCGGCTCCCCGAGCTGCTCTGTGGACGGCCTGGGGCCCCGGCGAGGATCCCGGCCAAAGGCCGGGCGCCCCCGTGGCTTCGAGGGAGCTTCGGCCGTGCGGCCCCGCGTGGCATCGCCGTGGGGCCGGCCCCGGGGGGGAGGGGCGAGGGGGAGGAGGAGGGAGGGAGGAGGAGGGAGAGAAGGGAGGGAGGGGCGAGGGAGAGGAGGGAGAGGAGGAGGGAGGAGGGAGGGGCGAGGAGCGGCGAGGGCGGAGGGAGGGGGAGGGGCGAGGGGGGGGAGGAGCGGCGAGGGGGGGCCTCTTCGGGCCACGGCGGGCCTCGGCAACGAAGCGGTGCCCGACTCTGGATCCGAGGGCTGGCCCCGAGAGCCAAGGGCCCCTCCTGATGTCAGAGAGGTCCTTACGGCAGGTTCGTGTCGTGCCGACCCCAGCGTTGGTTTTTGACACCGCAGGGATCGTTCAACCTTGAATGATCTGCCGCTGCCGCAACGTCCGATCGTTCAACATCGATCGATTCTGGGTCGCCGGCGGCGTTCAACCTTGAACGCCCGCGCTGGGGTCGCCGCGAGTCGACACGACGCAAACCTACCGTATCTCGGCGTCTTGGCTGCAGGGCTCGAGCTGCCCAGGTCGCACGAGTCGCAGGGCCTCTCCCATTCCCGCCACAGAAGAATCGGGACCGCGACGGTGGTCTTGATGGGCCAATTGTCCACCGCCACGATCATAGGTGAACAGGGAGAAGAGGGAGGATGAGGGAGAGGAGGAGGAGAAAGGAGAGTAGGAGGGCCTCCCCGTCCTCCCTTCTCCCCCGTCCTGCCTTTGGTAGCAGTGGCGGAACATTGACCAATCAGGTCTGCCTCTGAAGAGAGGTCCAAGAGAAGAAATGACCCCAGCAAAGCACCCTACTGGCAGCTGAGATGCAGCCAATACAGGAGTGAGAGCACGGTCATGTGCACCTGAATGCGTCCATTGCGAACGACTGTGGCCGTCCTGAGCAAACATGGAGCCCGCGAGAGCGCGACTCCTGAACAAATCGCATGCAAAACGACTGCTTGGACCGACCGGTCTCGGGCTCCCCGCCCCCCCCCCTGTGGGAGCCTTTCGCTGTCCGCGCAGAAGAGGGGGGGGGGGCCGCAATTCGCGCGAGCCACACTCCCCAGCCAGGTCCCCACGCAGACGAGGAGCAAGGAGGAGGGATGAGGAAGGAGGAGGAGGAGGAGGAGGAGGAGGAGGAGGGAAAGGAGGAGGGCAATCGAGGAGGAAGAGGAGGTATGGTGAGAAAGCCAAGAGGAGCAAGGAGGAAGAGGAACGAGGATGAGTAAGGCAGGAAGAAGAGGGCGAGCGGGGGGAGGACAGGGGGCGGAAACAGGAGGATGGCGGCGACGAGCGAAGGAGAGCGAGGGTAAGGAGTTGAGGAGACGCGTGGGAGGGGGAGGGAGTGAGGCGAAGGACGAGGACGAGGAGAATGAGGGGGAGAGCAGAAGCAGAGGGAGGAGGGACGTGGAGAACGAGAGGGGGAAGAAGGAGAGGAAGCCACAAGAGGATGAGGGCCATGACGAAGAGTAAGAGGTGAAGGAAGGGCCCCGAATCTGCCAGCGCGTGCTGGACGCGACGCGGTGATACGCGTGGGAGCAGCCCCGCCACCACGATGCACATACGCAGTGCGCACGTGCACATACGCACGTGCGGCACACCACGTGCACGCAGCTGCACGTGGCACGCAGCCGCTGGACCCCGCACGCAGACGTACGTGCGCGTGGGAATGAACCGCACAACGCCGGCAGCACTCCGCAGGGGGGTGGGAGCGGAGACAGCCCGAGGGCTCACGCGGCTGCTCCTGGGCCCCACATCGGGGCGAAACCGGCGCGCTGCCCCCGAGAAGCCGACCACGGCTCATCCCCAGCAGGGTGCTGCTAATCGGCCGAAGTGCAGGCTAGTGACCACACGCACATGCGCAAGGATGAGGGAGCGGGGGGGGGAGGAAGAAGCGCGCAGCCGTCTATGTGCTCCAGGACCAAGTACACGTTCCTGGAGTCCTGGCGCGCCAGACGAGGGGACGATGCGGGAGGATGATGGGAGAGGAAGGAACCGACAGCGACGAAAGAAGACATTCGCAGACTAACGCACGTGCGTCTTGCCCACTCATCTGAACTTGGCTTGCTGCTGCTTGCTATGTCCTCCGTGTTCCTGTCCTTCCCCAGCGCCACAACATTACGGACGCCGGCCAATGCTTCGGAGGTCCGTGCGGACCCGCCGCCCCGATGGCTTCGAATCCCCGGCCTTCTGCGGACAGCTGGCGACCCCCTGCAGCAGAGGACGGGTCTCCTCGCACGTGTCCACGAGCCGGCAGACCGCGGGATGCCGCAGCGGCCTCTCCGGCGCGAAGTACCGTCACGAGGGGCGGGCGGGACCCGCATCCTCCATCCCCCCCTTTCAAGACCGGAGGCCTCCAAAACGGTGTCGAAGCAGTTGGGTCTGGAGGATCGTGCCGCATCTCCGACACATCGGCGATGTCTTGGCGACCTCGGCGTGGAAAAGTTCAGACTACCCAGTGAGCCGCATCGGCGACGCACCAGCGATGCGGCGGCGCGATCCTGCGACCCCATCTACTTCGACCGCACTTTGGAGGGCACAGAGACGAAGGCAGCATGTGGACGTCCATGACATCCAGCGTCTTGTAAAATAAAAACGAATGTTTCTTGCCATGCTCCGACCCTACGGGTCCGTCCTGGGCCCCGGTGCTGTCAAAAAACAGATTGGCACGAGCATGTCCAGAACCCGTTTGAAACCAAAATACGTTGGAGCTTCAGGAGAAGAACTCTCCAAGACCTGCGACGAACGCCAGATGTCCAGGAGAAAAATCGTACGAAGAAAAACCAGCAATCTGTGAGAGCTGGTGGGTCGGGAGGGTGTATCGGGCGCCGGGGCCAGCTCAGGGCGCTCTGGAACGCTCTGATTGGATGCTCATACCTCCCTGAAGCTGCTTCGAACGTCCTGCGTTGAAGCTGCGTCGAACGTCCGTTGACTCGAGCCAAACTTGAGTCGAACCTGAGTGGAACATTAATCGAACCCGAATCGAACTGAAGTCGAAGAGTCGGACTACTCGGAAGGATCCGTTCGGTGGGCCCCAGGAAGGTCACCCAAACGAACATCTAACTCTGAGAGGAACCTTCTGGAGCGTGTATCTTCATCCTAAGCCTGCCTGGCCTACGCCCCCCCCTCCACCTCACCCTCCTCCCGCAGTCAGACAGGTAAGCCTTGCTGAATCTGGCCATCCTGGGCTGCGAGTGCGGGGCCTGAGGGCTGACCCCTACTCGCCACCTCATCGAAGAGCACATGTGGAGGACGTGCAGTGGGAACGCGTCTTGGCGGCATGCCGCTGCCTCTACAGGCCGATCCCAGGCTAGCCGATGCTGAGGCCACCAGGCTGCGCGGACGAGATTGCCCAATTCACAACACAATGTAACTAGCAGTGCAAAGCTTGTTACCACTTCGGAACGTAACATCCCTGAAATAATTCCTGCCGAACTTCAGAGCTGCAAAGCCTCAGAGCTTCGTCACGTCAATTGGTGGAAACATGTACGGCGCCGCAATGGGCCACGAGCAGGCTTCTGCACCTTCCCCGACAATGTCTCCTCAGGCCTAGACTGGCGAACTCGGACTTCGATGTATCCGCGTTGACACCTGCTCTGCCAAGGCTTCCTGTAGCACAATCGGCCACGACCACGCGCCGAATCCATTCGGCCATGTCCCCTCCTTCTCCTCCTCGTCCTCCTCTTCTCTTACCCTCGCTACGTTGTCTCCACGGGAGAGAAGAGGATGAAGTGGAGGGGATCGTGGCTCCGCATGCTCCTCCTCGCCTCCTCCCCTCTCCCTCCTCCTCCCCCTCATCCTCCTCCCCCCGCCCTTCTCATCCTTCCCCCAATCCCCCTTCTCGTCCTCGTCGTCTCCCCCCTTCGCCTCTCCCTGGACCGCATCCGGTCTGCCCCAAGCACGTTTCTCACTGCGGATGGATCTCTGACGGCCATGAGGCCCAGAAGGGGCACCCCAGGGGGTGACATCGGGAGGCAACGCCCAGCGTCGACGTTGCGTCAATGATGAAAAAGCGGCGCACCCACTTCTAAACTCTGCCCTACGAACCTGCCCTAAGGTGCGGTCTGGTCAGGCGGAAATCGAGAGGAATCACTGATACTCCAAACTAAGCGAAGCGTTCAGAATAACCGGATAATCCGCTGCCTCTACGCAGGGGCCCCTCATAACCTGGGCCTCAGACCCATTGCGGGGTCCATCCTGGCCTGTTGTCCATCATCCCAAATCCACGTTTGACGGCACCAGAGCCCGAAACGGGCAGTGTGGGGGCCGAGATCGCGAGACAACGTCGGGATGCGACTTTCCCTTATTCTCTGGCGAAGCCCACCTACTGATCTTGGCCCCAAACCCTGGCCTGGGCTGCATTCCTTATACGGCGGACTCCAGAAACCCTGAACCCAAAAACGCAAACACGTTTTCATCTCTTTGGGGCGCCGCCGCCTTCCGCCAGCCTTCCGCTGGCTTCTGCCCGCGGATGCGGCGTCGTTTTACTTCCGCCGCCTTCCGCCGATGACGAGATGACAACTTCATCGATCCTCGAAGGCAAGCCCCTTTTTGGAACGCCTACGAGTCCGAAGGGGATCCAGGAGTGGCGACGAGAGGCCTCCCAGAGAGCCCACCAAGGCGAACAACGGTAAGAACAACATGGATCCTCCCTTACTTGCTTCCCCGAGGAACAGAACACACAACGGCATAAACACACAACTTTCGGAGGTCCGTGCTGATGTCCTGGATCGGCGCCGGGCCCCTCTCCCTGGCGCGAAGGAGCACGTCAGGGGCGGCAACGGAGGCTCCGCCAGGGGGGGCCCAGCGCAGATCCCAAAAAGCCGCAGGGAACAAGAGAAACTCATGGGTACAGTATGCCGTTTCTGGCTGATCGACTACTTGCAATAAACGCGTACAAGAAGGATGCGCGGTAAGGATGCAAAGGCCTCGGAAGGCCATGTCGACATTTTTCGAGCGGGGCGCGGCCAGCGAAAGTGGTCAAGGATGGGCCGAAGTGGAATGATGCAAAGGAAACCTCTTGCAAAACCGCTCGTCCTTGCTATGCGCATTGTGTGTGTATTCCAGGCGGCACCAAGTACGGCAGGGGGCCCACCTCATGATCTCGGCCTCGTGGATCGCCGCATCCCGCGCGCAGTGGATCTTGGAGATCACCTCCGCGGCGCAGGACCGCCGCCAACGCCGCAGTTTGTCCCGAAGGCCCAAAACGTCGCGAAACGGTTCCACATGTTGTGCACGAATCACGGCCGCACCATGGGGCCTCGATCTCACTTCGAGTAGGGAGTAGGGGATCGACTGCAGAATCGATTTACCCAAAAAGAAATTCGCGTCGAGCTTACTAGAGAAATGCCCGAATGTTCGTAAACAAACAGGTCTTTCTATGTATTTTCGCACACTCGACGAACGAACAAATTTTGGGGTACATCAATGTTGTAGTCGATCCCTCACTCGATCATTACTGGACAAAAAACAGCATACAACTTTCGGAGGTCCGCGCGGTTTTTCTGGATCTGCGCTGGACCAATATAGCTGGAGCGCGGAGCGCGCCAAGGGCGGCGCCAGGAACGCCGTCAAGGGAGCCCAGCGCAGACCCAAGAAATCCGGCCGGACCGTCAAGGATTGTGTTTATGCACTTGTCCTTCCTCGACTCATTTTAGGGAGCCCCAAAACGACGCACGCGCCAAGCCATGTACGCAAATGCCCCGCTCGCTCGCAAGGCTGACCCCACGTCCCACGCGCTCGCGTGACGCGTTCTCTCGACACCCACGTAGATTAATGTACGCGCGCGTCTTTGTCAAGGCCCCGACCGTCTGCGGCACTTCATCAAGCTGGAAAGACCCACGACGTTCTGCCAGAGCCTCGAGCCCAAGGCAAAAGCGCCCAGGGTGACAAGCATGCAGCGCCCGGATCTCAGGGCCTCCACTTTGGCGGGGACAGCGATGGACCTCAGAACCCGTCCAGCGGTGCGCCCTGACCAGAACTTCGAGGCGAAGCAAGCCATGGCGACAAGAAAACACCCCCGAGGTCCAAAATGACCCAAAACGATCCGAATGCTACATCCTATCCTCGACCCTCGGAATTCGTTCCTCGATCGTCGTCGTCGTCGTCGTCGTCGGCGGCGGCGGCGGCCGCGCGCGGTGGATATCTGAGAGAGCACCTCCCACAGGGTTCGGCCGCCGCCGCCGCCGTTCGAGGGGGGACTTACGGGAGGGGGGGAGCTGGCTCGGGTGTAGGTAGGTATGGACTAGAAACCAAACGACACCATCCCGTCTACGACCCAGAGATGTCGAAAGTTCAGGCACTTGCCCACCTACGACCACCCACGACCCACCTACGACATGACCCCACCTACGACCCACCTGCGACCCACCGCAGATCGTAGGTAGGATGGTCTCAATTAGTTTTTGGTCGAAGATTGGTGTCCTCCCGAAGAGCTTGCAGGGTCAAGGCGACTGCGTCGACTCCGCGGTGTCTACCCAGTAGAAGGGCAGGCTCGCTCGTGCGGGAATAGGGCGGGGGACGGCGAGGAATCGACGGCACATCGCCGCTAGATCGGCGATGGGATCCCCATAGGAAACTGCGAATGAATTGGCGATTGGAGGTGGACCCATTCCCCTCTATAGCAGCTCCGCACGGATTTACTAAGACTTCTTAGAGCGGCGATGGAACCCCACCGTGGCGCGCGAATTGCGCCGCAGGCGGCGCCGCTGGGGGGTGCCAGCGCCGATCCGAAAAATCCGCACGGGGCTCCGAAATGCTCAGGCCGCTCTTCCTTCTTCGAATCGCCGTTGTCGCCGTCGCCGTCGCCGTCGCCGTCGCCGTCGCCGTCGTCGTCGCCGTCGCCGTCGCCGTCGCCGTCGCCGTCGCCGTCGTCGTCGTCGTCGTCGTCGTCGTCGTCGTCGTCGTCGTCGTCATCTGCCGCGCGCCGCGCATCTCGGCGGTGGCCTTGACGGCACACGGCGCGCCCCCGCCCACGGGGCGCGCCAGCTCCACGTCGCCGACCGAGCCCTCGGCGGCAGCGCGCGGGGGGGCGGCGGCCCTCGGCGGCCCTCGGCGCCCTCCGGGGGTCTCTCGGCGACCCTTCGGCGACCACATGGCGGCCCTCGTGTGCCCTTCGGCGACCCTTCGGCGGCCCTGGGCGGCCCTCGGCGGCCCTTCGGCGGCTCCTCAGCGGCCTCTCAGCGGTCCTCGGCGGCGCCCCTTCGGCGGGGCCCGCGTCTCGAGCATGTCATGGCGGGCCGCCGGTGTCGGGGAGCGCTGCATGCCATCGCTCGGACCTCCGCTCCCCGTGCATGCTTTTTCCGCCTGATAACCCAAGATGCTCCTCGATGGTCCCCGCCGAGAAGCAATGCACACCACCGAGCGATGCCAAGGCAGATGGGGGTGGGGTTGGGGAGGGGGCGAGAGGAGAAGACGGGGCCCCAGTGATGGGAGAGGCAGGGGGAAAGCACGGCGTCAGCGGCAGTCACAACAAGGAACGTGAAGGGAACCAAACTTCCACCGTCTCGCCCAAAACAACGATTTGAGCTGTGCCCAAGTTCGGCGTCTCCATGCCACTGTCGTGCTCTGGGATCATCGAAGGACACAAGATGGAACAACAATCCCCGGCAGGGGTCGATGGCTTCGGGGTCCGCGCAACAGGTGACATGGGATACCTGGGGAGCTGGCCCCCAAGTTCTAGCTACCCGCACCCTGGAGCGGGCGGTGCACGGGGACACTCCAGGGGCTGAAAGAGGGATGCGTTCAAGCTCCCCCTCGCCCACGCCAGCAGCGATGATTCGCGAGCTTTCGGAGTCTCTGGTGAGTCTGGGCCCCATCGATCCAAGCCCCAGACCCACTGCCCCTGACTGTGCTGCCGAGGACGGAGCGAACTCAGAGCCATTCAAGGGGTGCCGGGGAACTTGTTGGTGGCGGGGCGCCAAGGAGTGGAGACCTGCGAGTTCCGTGGCACCGCCGAAGCTAATCGACACCAGTCGACGCGAATCGACGCCAATTCGATGCGAATCGCTGGTGAATCTGCGCTTTATCATCGAACACCCGACGCTAGCGAAATGCACTCTGAAGACGGAATTTCGAGAACATGCATTGCTACGGAATACAAGCGTGCTCAGGATGAACACCTCGTGCAGCGGAGCTGACCAACTCGTTGCACTCAAGGCCCTGCCCGAGGGGCTCACAACCAAGCCTTAATTACACGAACCCATGGGTAACCGTTCGCGGACTGGTTCCACACGGGCCCCCAGGGGACCGTAGCTTTGGATGGAGACGGTGGGTGTTCCCAGCAGTCTCCGAGAGCGATCAAGAGCCTCGTTCCTCGATCCCCTGAGATTCGACAGCGCGAAATTATCGCAACATCGTGCAAGACCCCCGCCAGAGCCCTCGAATCCGTCCTCTAGCGGCATGTCCCGAGCCAGAGCGATCCGTGCGGTCCTCTCCGGTGCTCTGATCCCAGGGTCCTCGATCCTGAAATCTCCCACAGACATCCGACGCCGTGAGTCGTTCATAACGTGGCCCCCGACGGTCAGGAGCCCATCCCCAAGACCAGCCTTGCACACATGGTGCTTTGACGGTCCCAGGGCCTGGTGAGCGCCCCTGGACGCCAACAGTCGTCAAAAACTACCCGTCAAATGTTGCTCACGGCGCGAGGCGACCTAGCTTTCGTGCCATAGCTCGGGTCTCGAAGAAGAAATCTCCCTCGGCGAGGCGCGGCTGCAGAAGAGCGTCACAGGGCGGGCTGGAAAACTATCAAAACCTGTGGAGAAGCTGGCCAAAGCCTCCAATGACGACGACAACGACGACGACGACGAGGAGAGCCTCGCACGACCGCCGCGGGGCCCAATCTCCTCGACAAGGATTGGCGGCGAGCCCCAGCGGGGAAGCCGAAGGGAGCAGTCCTCCTCCTCCTCCTCCTCCTCCTCCTCCTCCTCCTCCTCTTCCTCCCCCCTCCTCCTCCTGCTCCTCCTCCTCCTGCTTCTCCTCCTCCTGCTCTCGGGTCCCGCTCCTGGCCCAGGGGCGCGTCGCCGGTGAGCTCCCAGTGGTCCGGGAAGCGGCGGCGCAACTCGCCGCAGCCGCGGGTGCCCGCAGGGGCGTCCTGCCGTGGCCGCGCATACGCCCGCCGCACGCAGCCGGCGCTGCCGAGGTCGCTGCTTAGGCGCTGTTGGTGGCTGTTGGGCGCTATCGGGCGCTGTTCGGCACTACAGTGAACACGTGAAATTCGCTGGCCCAGCGGGCCAAAGGCGTGCTAAAATCTCCGGTAAGAGTTTGAGAATGTCTCTAGTTCGCGCACGCGCGTGGCGGTCTCTGGGGGTCCCTGGACGAAAATGACCATGGCAAGGTCCTGGCAAGGTCTGATCAAGTCCTGGCACGTTCTCGGCAAGGTCGGGTCAGAGATGCCAGAACTCGGGGGCCCCAGAACGCTCCAATGAGGCGTCAAGTGGGTGGTAGGCCCTCCGGCCTCAGGCCAAGAGCGTTCTAAGATGGCCCACGTTGGTCCCAAGAGGGCCCAAGAAGTGCCCAAGACGTTCAAGAAGGGTTCCAAGAGGACTTCGAGAGGCCCCGAAAACACAATAATTATTCTTTCTGCGTTGGTTTTCGAACGACGTTGGCGGTTCCGCCTTTTCGAGCTGCCGACCGCCCTGGACGGCCCAAGAGGTCTCAAGATCGCTCCAAGACCGCCCAAAAAACCTCCAAGAGGGCCCTAATGGCCCAAGATGGCTCTAAGACGGCCCAATAGACCTCCAAGACGGCCCCAGGATGGCCCCACGTGGGGGCCCAGAGGGGGAACCCGAAAGAACATGTCGAGCTCTCGGCCCCAAGAGGCGCCAAGGAAGCCCCCAGAGGCCCCCAAGAGCCCCCCAAGAGGCCCCAAGAGGACCCCAAGAGGCCCCGAAAGAGGCCCCCAAGACCCCCAACAGGACCCCAGGACGCCCCAAGAGGCTCCCCGGAAGCCTCAAAACTGATCCCCAGAGGCCCCCGAGAGCTCACCGCCCAAAGAGACCCCAAGAAGCAGAGCTATCTTGAGCCATCTTGGCGCCCTCTGGGGCAATCTATCGGCTGTCTTCGACAGGGTGGAAACCACATCTCCAAAGACCTCCTCGAGGACATTCATGCCTGCCCTACCGTTCCTCCTAGCACGAGCACACCACCACGCAGCGACAGTGATGCGAAACGGGCCAGCGAAATGAGTGGAGCGATTCAATAAGGACGCGCGGTAAGGATGCAATGGCCTTGGAGGGCCACGTGAACGTCGTTTCGTACGAGTTGGCCAGCGAAAGTTTCCTGGGATAGGCCGAAGGGACAAGGATACAAGGGTAGCCTTGTAAAGATGCTCATCCTTACTATGCAGGTTGACTGTATTCGGCGCTATTGACCGATGTACATTCAGCCCAAGACGAGCGGACGCTTCCTGCCTAGGGGCAGGGAGACATATCGGAGCCCCAGGCGCTTCAATGCTCGGGGTTGGGGAAACAAGCCATGGCACACATAAACTTTCTGAATTCTGCGCGGGTTTCTCAGATCAGCCCGGGTTCCCCTGGGCGGCGCCTCCTGCGCCGCCCCTGACGCCGTCCCTGGGAGGGGGGTCCAGTGCCGATCCGAGAAATCCGCGCGGACCTCCGAATCATTTCATTTTTGCCATTGCTGGTTCCCCGAATTTCTTGGGTGGGCCCGTGGGCAGGTCAGGGCGCTCCACCACTGCTCGACTGCCGGACTCCCTGGCCTTGTGGCCGTCCACCGCAAAAGCGTTGCGGTCAGAAAGCAACTCACAAAAGCCTTTGGTCGTCCCCACGGCGCCCCACGGCGCCCAGTGGCGCGCAGAGCGGACATGATACATCTCGACTCGCATGCCGCTACTGGGCCTAGTTATTGGGCGCTGTTGGGCGCTATTCGCCGATGTACATTCAATACAAGACGAGCGGAAGCCTCCAATCGAAGCATAGGGCCAAAATCTGATTCTCAGCCGCTCCAACTCTTGGGAAGGCCAGGGCGCTCCACCACTTCTTGACTGTCCTTCCCACCGCAGCCCCGTGCCCGTCCACCGCAAAAGCGTCGCGGCACAGCGCCTCCCAGCGCTGAAGAGCGAGCCCTCGGCTGCTTGAGCGTTGCTCGATGGGGGGGCGATGGGGAGGTGAAGAAACGTGCACCTTTCGTGCCCCATTTGGGCCCGAGGGGGCCCCATCAGGACACCTCAGATGCACAACAAGTGCACCATCATCTCCCATACACCCCATGAAGCGTAGTTAGTGTCTAAAGCAATGGATCGATATGAGAAAAACCGCACTGCAAGATATGGACAGGCTACGATGGACGCATGTTCACGCTACTGCTGAACCAAAGCCTTCCGTACAGCTCACACATTGCGATGACAACACAATTCAACGTTATGAATAGAAGAGGAAGACCGATGAAACGATGAGGTGACATGTGCAGATCGCCTGTGTTGTTTCCACTCGTCTTGACAGCATCTGAACGATAGCTGCTCTGAACAGCTGGAGTACAAACCACCCTTCCGTTCATCGCACCCCCACCATGCAACGCCCGAGGCGGTTGCCCACACCCGCCCGCGGCGGGCAGCCGCTCCGAGACGAAGCCCGGACAGGCACAAGATCGGAGCAGGACACGCACCAGGGACCTTGAGGTCCGGCGGTTCTGGAGGATGCATCGGGCACCGCGGCCCTCTCGAGGCGTGTCGGCGTTTCGGCGGCGTCCAAGAAGGGGGCGTCCAAGAAGGGGGAGGGGAGGGGGGGGTGCAAATCATGGCCTGAGACACTTGCGCGGCCCCAGGCGGGACAGGGGACGTACTGAGACAAGAAGAGGCGCCGTGAAATCTGGGATGATATCCAGGCCTTGGCCATGGTGTCCACGCCCCCCTGATAATCACTCTCCTCTTGGCCGCCCCCGAGGCGTGATGGGCGCCGCGGCCTTCCCAGGGCGTCCTGAAACGCTCTGTGAGCGTCCCGGGGCGCTCTGGATCGACTTTATCCCTGCCCCAGCCCCGCCCGAAAAGTCCCGGACTTCCGACGACCCGCTGTCTTCGGCCCCGGTGTTCTTCGCGGCCCCGGGCAGAATCATGAGGTCGGGGGAGGGCCAGCGGAGGCCACGGCGGTCCTCCCTGGCGCTCTTCGCTCCTCTCGTGCCTCTTCCGGGCCACGCCAGCAGGGGTCACCACTGAGGGGCTCCCCGCCTCCTCCTGGAGACGGGGCCCCCGCAGAGCCCAGAGGACTCCCAGAGACGCCTCACCACGTTCGACACATCCTCGGCCCTGGATCCCCCTGTGGGGACCACCCCGTTGATGACCCCTCCGTCCTTTCGTTGCTGCGGCTGGACCCGCCTCGAAAAGCGGGCATGGACCCCGGGAGGGGCCCGGGGAATGACCTTGAGCGGATCTGGGCCAGGCAGAAGAACCGTCGTGAACTCAGGCGGCCTTCCTCCGACGGACCCAAAGTCCCACGGCAGCGTCCGAACGACCTGGGCAGGATCAGCACATCGGGGGTCTGGGGGGCTGGCACAAGGGAAACTGGCCGAACCCCCTTCTGGTTACGGCAGGCTCCAGCCGCGGTGACCTCGGAGCAAGTCCCGGGCACTCCATGGATCGGATCGATCTTGAACGGTCACTGCTACTAGATGTCGGAAGTGGTGTCTGCCCCAGGAAAGCAAATTTGAGAACCCCCAGCGGAACCAACGGCGAACACAAAGCGGTTCAATAAGCAAGCTTGGCTTTCCGACCGATTACACGTGCATGACAAAACTGGTGCATAGACGCTGGCCAACGTGGGCCCGAAGCAATGCAGTGCGTATTTCGACGCCGAAGTGGAAGCTGTGCGGTGTAAGCCATGCGGCGGAAGCTGCGCTGTGCATGCTATGTGGTGTGATCTATGTGGCTCGAGCTATAAACGTAACAGCTATGCTGCGCAACCTATATGGTGCGAGCTCTTTCTTGTAAGGAGGGCGGTGTGAACTGGAGGTGGGATCTATGAGGTGTAGCGAATTTCTGTTCGCAGTGAGTTGTCCACTCCACTGCTCGCGCAAACATCCCACCCGCCCACCCGCAACTTGGTTTGCAAAGTCTCTTAAGACCGTGACGGTGGGTACCAAATGGCACTTGGCAGCGACAGCGACGCCGACCGCGACAGCGACAACGACGATGACGCCGCCGACAACGCCTACAACGACACCAACGACGTCTCCAACGACTTCGACGACGCCGACAACGACAACAACGACGACGGCGACACCGGCGACGACAGTCATGCAAGCGCTACATGCTGTGTGAACCATGTGGTGTAAGCTATGAGGGGGAACTGTATCTCGTGAGTGTCGCGAGCTCGGAGCACGGGGCGCCCGCGAGGCGGCGCGGGCGGCAACGTGGCGCACCCCGGGTATACCCACAAAGCGCACGGGGCGCCCTCGGGCGACGAACGCCGCATATTTCCAATTGACAATCTGGGGCGGCGAAGTCGCTGTCCACCACGAAACTCCCAGGAAACAGTCTGGAACGCCGATGCCGTAGAACACCACTTACTGACCAGGAGACAAACTTGGTCGCAGAAGCCGTAGCTCACCACGTGCTGCCCAAGAAACAATCTGGGACGCCCCGGCCGTTGCGCACCACATACCAAAAAGAAAATCTGGGACGCCGATGCCGAAGTCCACCGCGCACTGCCCAATAGACAATCTTGGGCGCCGAAGCCGCTGCGCGCCCCATACTGCCCAAGAGACGATGCCCAAGAGACAACCTGGAAAACCGAAACCGTAGCGCACCAACGCGCCACATTCAGGACCGGCACGTGAGCGCAGCAAGCCTAGCTCCAGTTAGAGAACTGTTAGGGAGGGCCTGGAGATGAAACGTATCCTGCACGAGCTGGTTGAAACTGTCGGCCAGCCGCTCGACCCAATCTCGAGCTGATCTCTGTGAGCAAATGCTTTCACGTGCCGACGCTCAGAAACCGAAGCGCATCGCAAAGCCAGATGAAGCTCGCCGCGAAGTGTCTGACCGCGCTGCGTTCCGCGGCCCTCGCACCAGCGGTCACCTCCAGCGTCGGGAAAACAGGCGCACTCGAAACCGACGCCGACGCATCTCCCGCGCCGCCAGTGTGAACATCGTGAGCGCGGCGTTGAAGAGGGTCCTGAAGCGCGGGCGAAGAGACCCATGCAGCAGGAATGCCAACAGGCCAGGACAAGAGACCAGGACCGCGCTCCTGACCGCCAGCATCGAAAGAACGCTCATCAGCAGCAGCACGCGGGGCACGAACTGCAGGCCCACGTCGCCGCGGCACTTGGCCCGACACCGCCGCCGCCAGGCACGGCTGCCCATGGATCGCATACGTCAGGGCCATGCAAGGGGTCCCTGCGAGGCAGCGCCACGACCATGACGCCCAGGACGATGCGAGCCATCGTGCCCTTCATCAGGATTATCCTCATCATGATCACCAAGACATCCGCCGGCGCCATCGAATCGAAAACGGTCGCGACCCGCACATTTGACCCCGAACTGCACGAAGGACCACCCGTCGGAGTGTCGGTGCCCATGATCAGTGGTGACCGAACCTTCCACAAGCTGCCGAAGGAGGTGAAAGGGGAGGAGCCAGCGCAGCAAAAATAGCGGCAGGCGGAAGAGCACCCGCAGCGGCAGGCGTCACCAGAACCTTCACCTTGGCCTTCGGGGCGTCCGCCGCAAGGCCGAAGGCGATGCGCACCGCCTTTCCAGACCCGAGCTGCCTCCGAGTCCAGTCAACGCGCGGTAGGCATGGCATGGCAGTGCGAGCGTCCAGCAGGTGCAGGATAGAAGCCACCGCGCCAGCAAAATCCAGAGCCAAAGCGGCTCTGATGCTGATGCTGATGATACTGGTGATGATGATGCTAATAATGATGATGCTGATAATGTTGCTGCTGATGATGATGCTGATGATGATGCTGATGCTGATGCTGATTATGATGATGATGATTATGGTGATGATGATGATGATGATGATGATGATGATGATGATGATGATGATGATGATGATGATGATGATGATGATGATGGGGCCGCGGTCGGCTGCTTGGGTATATCGGGGCTGCCTCGACATAGTTTGGGGCCGCCTCGGTGCCGTTTTCGGCTATCATCTGGGCCCGCCTCTGGTCACCTCGGGGTCGTCGTGAGCCACGTCGGGCACAGAAATAGCGTGTGTTACACCTCCAGTGCAGAGGCCCCCTGTCCAGAATTCCAGAACTACAGCTTCCTGCGTATCGGCTTCTCTGGAATTCTCTCGGGGTCTCCAGGCCCAGGAAACGGCCCCCAAAAACCAAAACCATGATGCAGAGATTCGCCAGCGTGTACCAAAGGGGTTAGGCCGATTCGGGTGTAAGCTATGCGGTGAAAACTATTGGGTGAGAGCTATGCGGTGTAATCTATGCCGCCACACTGTGGAGGTGAGAACGATGCGGTGTAAACTATGTGGCGTAAGTCGCGGTGGAAAGACAACGCGGCATCGAGACGGCAACGGGCGGCAACGTGGCAAATCCTCGGCATACAACAACAAACGGCAACGGGCGGCAACCTGGCGGCAACGCGGCAGCGAAGCGGTAATGGGCGACAGCGCAGTGAATCCTTGGCACAGTCACGCACAGACAGCGTACGAGGCAGCAACGAGGCGGTAGCGAAGCGGCAACGTGCGGCAACGTGACGAATCCTCGGTATACCGGCGCAGGGGACAATCCATGTTCTGCGGCAACCCACGAGGAGCTCACATGTCATCCTAGCAAGATGACATGGGATGCCCTCCTTCGTTGCCACATGATTTTCAGGTCTGCGCTCCCCGGCGCCACGCCACCAACAAATCCCACCAGCCCTTTGGGCGTGAGTGGTTTAGAGAGCTCTCTCTGTTCTCAACCCCCCTTCTTCCCCTTCGGGGAGGGGTTTACCCCTCCCCCTACCCCCTCCCCCTGGGCCTGGAGAGAGCGTTCCGCGGGTCGTCAGGGGGGTCATTTTCGACTCCTGGGAGGGCTAAAAAACGACACCCCTCACGAGGATTCTGGCCCCGACGGGGGGAGGCAGAAAAAATGCTCTCCTGTTCTTTGAAGCCAAAAACATTGATTTTACTACGGTTTTGGCCCCATTTTGGCCTTCTGAGGGGGCAAAGCTCCCCTCTTCTTTCAAGCCAAAATCATTGATTTTACGAAGGTTTTGGCACCATTTTGCCCTTCTGAGGGGGCAGCGCTAATTAAAGCTCCCCTCTTCTTTGATCGATTTCCTCCAAGATGGCCCCAAGAAGCGCCCAGGAGGCACCAAGAGGCCCCAAGATGGCCCCAGGGCCTCCAAGAGGCCCCCAAGATGCCCCCAAGAGGCCCCAAACGGCCTCCAAGAGGCTCCCCCGAGGCACCCAAGGCGCTCCTGGAAGCCCCTGGGGCCGCCAAGAGGCCCCCAAGACGCCCCAAACGGCCTCCAAGAGGCTCCCAAGAGGCCCGAAGAGGCTCCCCCGAGGCACCCAAGACGCTCCTAGAAGCCCCTGGGGCCGCCAAGAGGCCCCCAAGACGCCCCAAAAGGGGACGAGGTGCCCGAACGCCTCACGCCACGAGGAGCCCGAACGACTCACACCAGGACGAGGGGCCCGAACGACTCACACCACGAAGAGCCCGAACGACTCACACCAGAAGGAGGGGCCCGAACGACTCACACCAGGACGAGGCGCCCGAACGACTCACACCACGAGGAGCCCGAACGACTCACACCACGACGAGGGCCCCGAACGACTCACACCACGAGGAGCCCGAACGAGTCACACCAGGAGGAGGGGCCCGAACGACTCACACCAGGACGAGGGGCCCGAACAACTCACACCACGAGAAGCCCGAACGACTCACACCAGGACGAAGAGCCCGAACGACTCACACCACGAAGAGCCCGAACGACTCACACCAGGAAGAAGGGCCCGAACGACTCACACCAGGACGAGAGCTTTCTCTCCCTCCTCCTTCGCCTCGTCCTTCTCCCGCTCCCCCCACAAGGAGGATGTACAAGGAGGCGGGAGGAAGGAGTAACAGGGGAGATATGCGGGGGCAAGCGGACACACGCCTGAAAAACACGACTGTCGGCATGCTTCGCAAGAGTTGCTGTTGTGAGATGGGCTGGTGGGGATACGCGAAGCGTAAAGAATTCCCCACGGCACGGCACCTCTTCAATGGCTCTGAGCTCGTTCAGTCCTCTGCAGCACAGTCAGGGACAGCATAGTCGACCAGCGTCGATCAGCGAGCGAGCGACCTTCCATCCGATGCTTCTGTGCAGTGCCATTTCGGCTGAAGAGCCCCTGGAGGGCGAAAGCTACCTGCGCTTGGCACACAAACACACATCAGCATCCGAGCAGGCTCGATAGTCCTTTCGATCGGGGGACCAACGTCGATCAGCGTCGACTCCCAGGAAGCAGCGAAACTTGCTGGGAGCTGCATCCAGGCGCGCAGGCCGCCACCGGCTGGAGCACCCACCTGGCCAGTCTGCCCCACCACCGTCGTGGTCGGGGTGGATCGAGGATCGAGGGTCGATCGAGGATCAAGGATCGGAGGATCGAGGTTGGGTTCTGGCTTTTCGGAGGCCTCCAGGCCCCCTTCCGAGGCCCCCCTGCCTTCTCAGGAGGCCGCCCTCCAACGGGGAAGACGACGACGACAAAAGACTCGCACCCCCGATGCCCCCTCCGAGGAAGGGCGAGGAGACCACCCGCATCGCATCATCCGCGCCGCAAAGGTACTGTTCAGTAGTAGGTATTTGTGTGTGTGTGCTCTTGTGTTTGTCTGCTGCTCATTACTTGTTCGTTGCTGTTAGTTCTGTTCAGGTGGAGGTGTGTGTGCGGCAGGGGGGGCCCGCGGCGGGTCCTGCGCGCCCTGGCCCCAGTCGGACGGCGAAGAGCCGGACGACGAGCACCAGCTGAGCTCAACTCGGAGGTACCCCCGCGCGCAAGGAATGAAGATCCGCGGGGAGGGGCGATCTTCCCGTCATTCTCCTTCCCTCGAGCCCTCACTCCTCCCTGTCTCACCCCCGAACGAGTCGGTATGGGCGGGCTCGGCGGGCTGCCCGAGACTTCCTGTGATCATGAGGATTGGCACTCGCAAGAGTTATCTGCCAAAATGGGGGGGCTCGCGTCATCGCCGCGCAAATTTAAATTAAACGCTTGCAGCAGCTACAAGGATGGAAGGGGATCGTTTTCATTATGAGGCTTACTTCTTTAGCGCCACGCGCAGTCGTCTCCACTCTTGCCGCAGCCACAAGGGTGGGGGGCGGTTCCTTTTCTACATGAGACTTGTTTCTTTAGCGCCGCGAACCGTCATCTTAAAACTTGCAGCAGCTACGCTGGTAGAAGGCAGTTCATCCCTTTTCAAGATGGGGCGCTACGCGGCGCCGCGCTCATTCGTCTTCAAAGCTTGCTGCACCTAACAAGATGGACGGCGATTCGTTTTGAAAACGGGCTCTCGCCTGAGATATTTGTTTAAACTAGGGACCACGCACTTCACCATACCTAGCAGCTGCAAAGGTGTAGGGCGATTTCTTCTCACATTAGGGATGTCGCTTGGAAATTCCACGAACTGCATGGCCAACGATGTAAGCATTCGGAACACATTCACGGCTGGGGGGGACGATGCCAAAACGGAGACATCGCTGGAGACCTCGTCGACTCGTACGATCATGTAATTTCGAAATCCTAAGTACAGACCGCGCATCTTGCAGTGAAAAGGATGGCCCTCCTCCTTTTGTTCATCCCCTTCCTCCCTCCTGCTCCCCCCCTGCGTCCTCCTCTTTGTCCTGCTCCTCCTCCTCCTTCTCTTCCTCCTCTTCCTCCTCCTCTTCCTCCTCCTCCCATTGCCCACCTCCCTCCCCATCCTTCTCCGCGATTTGTTCTCCTCGTCCTTACATCCTTTTCCTTGAAGATAACCCGCCCCGTGTCACACCCCGCGGTTGGTCGAACGGGCGGGCCGGGCGTTTCCCTTGAGACCTCGTTGCAACTTATGGTCCTGGAACTTGCAAGGTGCAGCCGTTTCACGGATGGAAAGCGGCCCGCTTTGAAAATGTGGCTCTCGCCCCATCGCCGCGAACATTCGTTGGACCAGTTCGCAACGGTTTCGTGGATGGAAGGCACCCCGTTCTCAATATGTGGCTTTGTGTAAACGCGGTGCATGATCGTCTCAAACATTTGCATGGGTTTCCTGGATAAAAGGCGGTCCGTTTTCAATGTGTGTTCTCGCCTTAGCGCCGCGCGCATTCGTTTGAAAAGTTTACGTGCGCTTCACGGATGGACGGCGGCCCGTTTTCAACATGCGGCTCGCTTTTAGCGCCACGCACATTCGCCTGAGTTTGCCAGAAAGGTTTCGCGGATGGGGGGCGGCCCGTTGTTTATATGTGGCTCTCGCCTTAGCGCCGCACGCGTTCGTCTTCCAGCGTTGCAACAATTTCAAACATTCTCATGGTTATATAACGTCCCAGAAATGGTGTTTGGACGCGGTCTGTGAACGTCAGGGCGCAACAGTCACGTTGATCCGAGGTGTTGAAGTCCCAGGAATGGTGTTTTGGCATGATTCAAGATCGTCGATACGCAACAATAACTGTGATTCGCGGCGTTGAAGTCTGATTGTTCTCCAACGGGGCATTTCCCTGTGGAAACAAATCCGTGTAGGAGCCGATGAAGAGGCAATTTGGAGGGAGGGCTGATTTTAATAACTTTGCTGAGCCTTGGGTTTACACTTCTCCTCCTCCTCCTCTTTCTCGTTCCTCTCCTCCTCCCCGTCCTGCCCAAAACGGGCCTCGACACCAACCAGTTCCCTTGACCGTGACGCGTTCTGAAGGACGCCAGATGTGGGGAGGGCCCAGAATCTCGAGCGAGGAACAGCCATACTGCACGGCCCGCGGGGGCGAGGTTGGGTATAACTCAACGTATAAGCCATGCGTCTGTACTCATAACGCCTCCGTTTGAGGTCTTATGCCACCCAAGTAAGCGTAGCTAGAATGTACGTGGGACCCCATGTATAACCTAACTCCACATACATATGATCATGGAAACACAAGCATGCCACTAAATATAAACCGCCGCTAACTACTTTACTGCTTTAACTGTTCAATTGGCGCTGACAACGTCAAGCGAAAATGGGCGTTTCTCAGTTACGTTATGGTTTAACTGTGCGCTCAATTATGGCTCAAGTACGTTCAGTTCTGATTCAGTTACCGGCCAATCATCGTCGACGTCGTTGTTGTTCGTTATTCGTTCGCCGTTCGTCGTCCGTCGCTCGTCGTTCGTCGCTTGTCGCTCGTCGTTCGTCGTTCGTCGTTCGTCGCTCGTCGTCACCGTCGTTCGTCGTTCGTCGTAGTCGTCGTTCGTCGTTCGCCGTTCGTCGATCGTCGTTCGTCGCTCGTCGCTCGTCGTTTGTCGCTAGTCGTGAGGCGGAGAAGGAGGAGGGAGGACAACGACCACGAGGAAGTGCAGAGAAATAATGTTGGCGACGATGATGACAATGATGCGAACGAGGACGAGGACGAAGACGAGGAGGAGCAAGACGAGGAGGAGGAGGACAAGGAGGCTGGGGCTGGTGTTCCTGGTGCTGGTGCGTCGTCAACACACTCATCATCAACATCATCCGTGCTTCCAACCGACGACAAGAGGCTTCCGGCTCCTTGCTCCTTCTCCTCCTTCTCCTCCTCCTCCTGACTCCTCCTCCGCCTCTTCCTCCTCCTGCTCCTCACTCCGAATACTCCTCCTCGCTTCTCCTAACTCCTCCTCCTATTCCTCCTCCTCTCCTTTCTCCTCCTCTGCGCCCACCTCCTCCTCCTCCTCCTCCTCCTCACTACTCCACCTCACTCCCTCCCTCTCCTCCTCACTCCACCTCATTCTCATTATCTTCCTCACTGCTCCTCCTCTCTCCTCCTTATCCTTATCCTCCTCTTCCTGCTCCTCTCACTCCTCAATCCTCCTCCTCATTCCTCCTCACTTCTCCTCTTCCTCCCTACCTCCTCACGAGGCCCTTGGAGCCCCCCCCTTCCCCCCCCCAGAAGGCCCCCATGAGGCCCCATGTGGCCCCAAGAGGCCCCCGAGAGGCCCCCCGAGCGGCTCCCCAAGAGACCACACTATACCTCTAGCAAGCCTCCGAATACAGGCATTGAGACATCCCTTTCCCGTGGCCGTGGGGTAGGGGGAGGGTAAACCCCTCATCACTGCTGCTCCTCTGCACCACCGTCGCACGACCGTCGCATCGCCGTCGGGCCTGTTCCACGAGAGAGAAGGGGGGATGAGGTAATGGAGGTCGGGCGGTGCCCCCTCTACCCCTCCCTTCTCTTTCCGACCCCCTGCCCCTCCTCTTCCCTCCGCCCTCTCGACGTCAACGTTCTCTCTCCGTCCTCCTCCTGAGCAGGAAGAGAGGAAGGAGGGAGGAGGAGGACGAGTGAAGAGGAGGGAAGAGGGGGAGGATGAGGAGTCAGGCAGGAGGAGTGAGGAGTAGAAGTGAGGAGGAGGCGGAGGAAGAGGAGAAGGAGGAGGAGGAGGAAGAGGAGGAGTGAGGAGAAGGAGGAGGAGGAGGAGGAGCGAGGAGGAGGAGGAGGAGGAGGAGGAGGAGCAGGAGGAGGAGGAGGAGGAGGAGGAGCGAGGAGGAGGAGGAGGAGGAGGCCGAGAAGGAGAAGGAGTGAAACGGAGTGAGGAGAAGGAGCGAAGGGTGAGGATGAGGATTGAGGAGTAGGGTAGGGGAGCGGACAGGAGGAGTCAGGAGGAGCAGTGAGGAAGAGGAGGAGGAGGAGGAGGAGGGATGAAGAGGAGTGGGGAGAAGAGTAGCGAGGAGGAGTGAGAAGGACGACTGAAGAGGAGTGAGAAGGAGCAAGAGAAATTGAGGAGAGCGGAGGAGCAGGAGTGATGGGGGGGGGCGCTCGCGGGGCATCTCGGGGGCCTCTTGGGGCTTCATGGGAGCCTTCTGGGGGGGCCCTCCCAGAGGCCTCGTGAGGAAGGAGGGGGTCAGGGAGGAGGAGTGAGGAACGAAGAAGAGGACTGAGGAGGAGACGAACTCTTGCACTTTGTTTTGAACGAATGTGCGCGTCGCTAAGGCGAGAGCACATTTGAAAACCACCCGCCCTCAACCTTTGAAACTCTTGCAAATTCTTCAAACGAGTATACGCGGCGCTAGGGCGAGGCCACATGTGGGAAACGACCCGCCCTCCATCTGTGGAACTGTGGATCCCTTTAAAACGTCAGGGTCACAAATGGTGAGGGCCTCTGAAGCGAAACGCCCGGCCCGCTCTTTCGACCGGCCCCGGGGTGCGACAGGGAGGAGTTAGCTATCAGGAGAATATAGTAAACGAAGAAGAGCAGTGAGGAGAGTTATGATGAGGGGGACTGAGGAGAGGAGTATGGTGGAGTAGTCAGGAGAGGAAGAGTGAGGAGGAGGAGGCGGAGTGAGGAGGAGGAGGAGTGAGGTGGAGAAGGAGT